TCTTATGGAAATTTTGTGCATTTGAACTATCGAACCTTCGGACTAAAGAACCTTTGGACTATTGGACCTTCGGACTATCGGGCGGCCCCCGTTTGTAATACATTGTTAAAGGACGTACCATCACCATTACCGGCCACTCTGTTAATCTATTTCAGGTTACCACGTTCCTATCTGTCTGGCTCCCAACCCATACCTCATTACCCGTAATATACAACACATATATTGTTACGTCTTCCAGCTATAGTAAATGGTCAAAACAAATGGATGTGGTAAAGACCAAATTCAAGGAGCCGCACAATTTCACACAATTTATTTTTTGCGTGACAAATACCGTCATTGTAGCACTTTTGTCCATAATCAAAAATGCTTAGATTTTTCAAGAAAATTTGAAAATAGTGACGTCACTGCAACAGCAAATCAGCTTATTGTTACTTAAATGTCACTGATTATATCACTCTTCAATTCCCTGACCCTCAAAATGTCAAATTAATTACTTGGAATCTCATCACAACGCTTCACGACCTTATTTTCTACAATTAATTACTGTACGAGCTCAGTAGTATATTGTGACGTCATTATTACGTCATAAAGTGGCCTTCCTGTCATCCGATTTTTTGCATCCTACCCTATTTTTGATCGTAACACATTGGCAAAGCTTTGGTGAAAAAAATGGTGCTTTTAAATACCATGTAACGATCCTTAGCATTTTTTGTTACTAATGTAGCTCGCTGTAAAATGCCTCACTTTTCCGCTTATCTTTGGAACAAGTTTAAACATATTTATGATACTAATAATCAATTACAAAAACTCTTTTGGCATAGAATTTGAACTTTTCTCTCGAACTTAAAAACAACATCTCACAATACCACAAACTGTTTGCATGTTAAAACAAAGTGTCAATGTGACTACCCAAAATCCATGATTTTAGCCTAAAAAACATGTCTTTTGACCAAAAAAGTTTTTTTTCACCCACAAAATCACCCTTAACTATCCCTATGACATACCACTCAAATGAAAGAGTTTGCTGTCCCCTTTAATTTGATACCACATTTGTTGCTGTAATGCTTGTAGTTCTGAAGATTATTATCAATTTATATTTTTTCATGTAATAATTAGCTGATGATGTCATAATGACGTCATACATGTACATGCCCTTCCCATCATCCAATTTTTTGCGTCCGTCTTTTTTTCGAAAAGGTATACCATGGAGATGCTTTAGTGAAAAAAATTGTGCTTTTGTCCGCTGTGTCACGATTTTTTTCACTAGGGTACCTCACTATCTAGAAAATTTCCTCATCAGCATTCTTACTTTCATACTCAAACGTCACATATAAATATGTTTTTTTCAAAGTCAGTCAACTACTAGTACAGGGTGAATCAGAATGATCTGGACCTAAATTAAAGAAAATATTAAAATTATGTAGCGATTATTAGCCCTAACAGTCTTGAATCCTCCAATTTTAATATGATTTTGCACACCCCCTAGGGAGTTAGGGTTAAAAACAAGTGCCAAATGCGATATGCTATAGGCTGATATTTTGGACATATTTGGTGAAAATTTCAGGTTTATCCATTGGACCATTTTGAAGAAAAGCGCTAGCAAAGAACACATGCTAAAAACCACTCTGACCACGGTTCCATGGTTCAACAAATTTATTGATATCGCGTACTGATCTGAAGCAGTGTAATAACAAATAAAAACCTAGTCATGGTGACTGACTCACTTGAAGTTATTGACACATTTAAAAAAAGGCAAAACCAATTGCGTGCGCAGACTGGAATATGAGCCACTTCAATGATAATGGCATAACTCCTCACCACAGCCAGTAATTTGAAAAATTCAAAATTCCTGTGGAAGACAGGGTAATAACCATTCATATGAAACACTCAGTTATTTTCTCCATATACTCTATTTGCCACACAAAAAATGGTGAACTTTGGTCTAGCTCGTTCTGACTCACCCTGTATGTACTACTAACCCTTCCATATACTGTATATTCTATTAATTTGGGATTCCACTTTTTTTCCCCCCGTCTCTGGTACATCAGACATACATGTAAATGTGTTTTTATAAAATGCACGCATCCACCATGATTGGTGCTCAAGGCGCTACATCATTATTACGCTTTTGTAAATTCTGGATTCCCCCTTTATTCCTTTTTTCCATTAAGAGTGATTTGTAAAACAATCTACCCACACAACAACAGCTGGCTGGCATTTCTAAGGATTTGGTTCAATGAGTAATGGAAAGAAAAATGCATTATATATCCCTTTTTTGCATATGCTTTTTTGCATCTAAGCACGTAGACAAATCTTATGTCCTGCAAGAGAAAACGCATAACAATATAGTGCCGACTCGGCATTTTTTTTAAATGATGCCTCCGACGGCTGTCAAGGGCTTGATCTGCAATGCCACAAAATCCACATTTGTTTATAGGATAATTGGTCTATCTCTGTGCCAAATTTGGCGCATTTATCATAAAATGCACAATAGGTTTGCTATGCTGCCCCCAATACGGCTGATTTGAGTGATTGTGGGGTAGGGTTAGCAGAAATGGCAATAGCGAGACCAGGTTTTAAGACAGAAAGTTCATCTACCACTCAAATCAAACCTTAAGGTCTCAGGCAGCTTTTTCAATTACAAAGAAAGTTTGCATCGTAAGAATAATTATGACTTAATTATGAACTCATTTGTGTCCCCAAAGGGTAAAGCCACAGGATTTGATGATGTCCTCAATGCAATGTGCCCTTGGATACCACGAATGCGGATAAAATAGGGACCAACCATGTTTTCCCTTGTTTACTCATCCTATCAAGATTGTAAAAAGTGAAAACAAGTCACAGTGGAGCAGTTTTTGTGACAGCAGTGGTCCAATATCTGATTTTGTTTCCACAAAATTAGCTTCAAATTTTTAGTTGTTTTTTTTTTTGAGCTGGAAGGCACAAATACCGGCAGTGCCATTTAAGAGCACCATTTTCGGATGTCTCACGGTATACTACAACAGAAAATAATATTAAGATTAATCATAACCACCCCAACTCCATCCAAATCCATCCCCCCATTTTGGTGGATTTTGGGGGACTTGGTCCAGAAGGCCTGGCGTGACTAAATATTGATGGAGTATGATGGACTTGGGCCTAATGGCCTGAAGCAGTGCTAGGGGTATCCAAAGGATTTTACCTAGCTTCCTGTAATGCTATTGTGATAAAAGCCATGTGTAGCAAGTCCATGAATGTCAACCAGTGCGTCAATGGTGGATTCCATTATGTCAGGTACAGTTTTGTATCAGACGCACAGTGATTGATGGATTTTGATGGAATTGGTCCAGTGCCTAGTAAAAGAAGCTAGGGAGTTAGGGTTGATCATAAAATTTTGCAAATAAATGGCCTTATCCCTGGGACTATTAACACTTTTTAACCACTGAACCACCAAGCAGCTTGCCAGGGTCGACTGACTGGTTCAATTGATTGTGATATCTGCTGCTACGTATATCAGATTTAAACTGAGCGCAAAAATGAGCGCTCTTTTCATACTCAGTGCTGTCTTAGAGGGTATGAAAAATTAATTAAAAAAAACTTGCTCAGATAGGACTCGAACCCAGGACAATGGGCCTATTAGTGGTTTGGCTGGCCTGTTCCAATGAAACAAAGATCATCCGCTGCTACACATATGCCAGATTATAACTGGGTACAGAACTGCCTTTTTATTATGGGCTCCGTGCGCCAACCCAAGAGGGCGCTTTTTTACCAATTTTGAGAACTCCGTGGATGGGACAACCATGTGTGCGTAGGCCCTACTGGTTGGCGCGCGTATAGCTTGGAGTATGCACTACTTATTTGAAAGCCATAGCGTCTTTGCGTGAACATCAGGAGTCGCTGGTGCGTTTGAATGTCTCTCCCAATGGGCTCCCTAGTCTGGTTCCCTAGTCTGGTTCCCTAGTCTGGTTCCCTAGTCTGGTTCCCTAGTCTGGTTCCCAGACCAAAAGATATATTTTTGATGAATCTAAGATTCGTCAGAAATAACAGTCGGAATTTGTTGGTCGGGGAACCAGACTATGGTCTCCCCCAACTCTCCCTTTCTTGCCAGTGAGGGGGTACTTGTGAACGGAGCCCATTGTACGACATACCACCTTTAACAGTTCTTTCACGAAGCCAAAAAAAGGACCTACTCCTGTAAAAATCAAGCTTGGTCATGGAAGTCTGTTCTTTTTTAATGTACCCATATGAATAGACAGTGTAAAGCTGCCTTTCCATGCGAGAGTTCTGTGTGGAAATATATGCCCATACCGGTAGTGTGGAATGACTGGTAATCGGAAATCCGTGATTGCAGGGGTGCCATTAAAGGTATGTACGCAAAGCTGATAAACCAACCATTCTGGAGCAAGCAGAGATGTTCATAAGTAATGATGTCTATTACTTGAACATAATTACCCATAATTATTGGATTCCCTTTTTTGTACGCCGTGTAGATAGACCTAAGGCTTATGCAATGGACCGAAACAAACTGAAAACGTGCTCATGGAAGGACAGCATTCAAGTACCTTCCAAATGCCAATGTGAAGAGGGAGAGTACGACAGTCAGCTAAAGCAAGGTCCTTAAAGGCATAGGATCATTTGCATTTATCCCCAAAGTAACCGACAGAATTATCGTCAAAATGCTTTCATGGATTAAAGATCGTACTGGTACTAAACACCCCGTGAAATTATTCCTTCTGGCTTGCCGTCATGTATAGGGAATTTTAAAAAGTACTTGATTTCCAACGATCAGTCGATTGACTGATCGTTGGAAATAAAGAGTTCTATGGGCAAAATCGTGTTCTATGATTAAAAGTTTGCACTGAATATCCACTGAGATGAAATTCAACAGGTTACGCTTTGAACATTCTTCTTTGGATTTTCAGTGCCAGAGTTATTGGAAACGAACAAAATGCATGAAAAGCCAATGTTCCTGTATGCCTTTTAGGTCGGGAACCAGGATTTATGAAAATTAATGAACTAACCTTTTGTTTGGCGGCATGCTCAGCCACCATATCGCTGAAGTCTTCTTTCTCCAGTTGGCTCTGCTGCTCACGGACTTGTTGCTCATATCTGAACGAAGAAACAACAACAGTGCAAGCGAGATTTGATATTCATCATGATTTGTACATTTCATTTTTTCTTCTTCGTTTTATCTTGAAGCGAATGGGGTTATCAGGACCAAGTTGCATGGTTCTTGTTGCTACTGTAAGCGATAACATCTCCTAACTGTAGTAGAAAGTTGCACACTAATACATGGTGAGTCAAAAAAACAAAACCCAAAAGTCGGGACTATTGTTTTATTGAAGTCTTGCATGTAGCACTTTCAAAATCTAGGATATGAAAGCCCAATTCAAAAGCTTTCTTTTAGTACAAGAATCATTCCAATCACTCATGTACTTTTTAAGTTACAGAATTTTAAACACAACCACCGTTTTAAAGTTCTGTCCACGGATCACAAAAAACGTGTTGGTTGTTTCAGCAAAACGAAAACCATTCACACACATCCCTATGTGATTTGTTTTTGTTTTGCTGAAAGAACACTGAAGTTTTTTTTGATCCGTGGACAGAACTTTAAAACAGTGGTTGTGTTTAAAATTCTGTAACTTGAAAAGTACATGAGTGATTTGAATGATTCTTGTACTAAAAAGATAGCTTATGAATTGGGCTTTTCTATCCTAGATTTTGAAAGTGCTACATGCAGAACTTCACTAAAACAATGGTCTCAACATTTGGGTTTCGTTTTTTTTACTCACCCTGTAGTAAGCGCATTTCAAGGATTAGCAAGGATTTTGGCCAACACGCATGCAATGATCTTGTAACTGAGGATTCAGTGGATTACAAGATTAGCCAAACATTTCTGAGATAGCGCAGTAAGCAGAGAAAGGTGAGCAAAAGTGCAGAATAGATCTAAGACAAAATGACGACACACTTTGTTTACATGTGCGCTTAAAGGAAAGCGCATATCCAATCGAGTCAATTTTTACGAAGAGCCCTGATTTAATGTTTTTCTTCAACCCTTTGAAAAACAATACCGGGCTTGTCTAGTCCAGTTGAACCCCAAAGCCAGGATATTACTTATACTCAGTTGCTACGTCAGTCAGTCAATAATAATAATAATAATGGGTACTTATAAAGTGCACACATCCACCTAACAAAAGGCGCTCATGGCGCTACAATAGAAAAGAAAAAAACACGATAAAACAAACAAGAACAAAAAACAATGTATACTATGTAGTCTGACAAGCAGAAGAGCTTATTATGTGGTGCTGTAGGCTAGCTTATGGAGTACCAAAGTGAATACGTCATGCGCACAGAATGTGTGTAAAAAGACATTAGCGCGTGATTCAGCCCGTGAACCAACACGTGCGCGTACTCCATTCGTTTGCACTACACTTTCTGGTTCTTAATGACGTCACACTTCGGTACTCCATAGTAGTGTGTTTTCAGAGCCGTTTTGAATGAGCTGAGAGATGTGCTAGATCGGATGTTAATGGGTAGACTATTCCAAAGACGTGGTGCAGCTATACGAAAAGATCTGTCCCCCCAGGATCGGTAAGATCTCAGTACAGCCAGAAGTTGTTGGTTAGCAGACCGGAGACCAGAACGACCGGATTGGTGGGGAGCTAGTAGAGTGGACCCATGATGATTTTAATCAGTCAGTTAGTGTGTCAGACAGTTAGGCAGAGACTCTATTCAGTCAATCAGTCAGTCAATCAGAGACTCAGTCATTCAAAGGACAATAAGCTGACCCATTGGGCAAAGCAAAGACCTGACTTATTGGAATGTCTCGTTACAAAAAAATTGGGAAAGAATAAATTTTGAAAACTGACAATCAAAGTTTGACTTACTTGGCAGCCATGGCCGCAGTGTCCAAGTCCAACTCGCTGGGATCCAGTGTGATAGCCACGCCCTCCCCAGCACCGCCTGCTTTCTTGGCCTACAGTAGAAACCAGAGACTTCGTATTACAACTTATGACATAGCAAGTCCCTAATTTCTCAGTACTTTTCTAGCTTTAACTACAAACTCTCTGTACATTAGCAGAATAAAGCCAGTGCATCCTTTTAAAACAAAATTCTACGAAATACACATTTGAGAGATTTGTTTTGCAAATTTGATCAAATTCATAAGATGGAATTTTGCGTTGGGGTGATATAAATCAAATTAGGTTTTGCCCTTCACCAACGTATAAACACTGTATACTCAGTGTGTTACCTCCCAAGTGAAAGTTGGAAAAACTCACTCGGGTGGGACTCGAACCCACGACCTCCTGCTTTCTAGTGCAGATGTCTCACCACTCGACCATCGAGCTAACAGTGATCAAATTGTATTATACAGGTTCGACAGTTTGGTAGACTGATAAGTTGAAAATAACTTGACCATTCTTCTTCAATTCAACAAAAATCTGGATATTTAAAAAAATATGACAAACAACATCTTGGATCCTTTTAGTTTAAAACGAACACAGTTTACTGGAAAATGTTGACTTACTGATCTGCTCCAAATCAAAACTTAAAACTTCTCAAATTAATTCGAAAGGTAATAATCATTCATCAGACATCGCTAACAGGGCATTTGTAGCAAATCTTCAACCACAAACCTGTTCAAGTGGACTTGAAAATTGTCTGACAATATCATCTGAGAAAATATCCATATGACCAATTATAAAGCTGATTTAACAAAAATGGATCCAGGTCAAAATCCCCTAGATATTAACCCCTGCACACCGGCAAGAATTATCTCATTATCTGAGAACACATCCACAGGAGATAATGAGATAAGTGGAGTGTCATGGCCGAGCTGTTAAGAGCACTGGACTCAAGCTCTGCTGGTGTTTCTGATCAGCAGAGCGTGGGTTCGAGTCCCGGTCTCGACACTTGTGTCCTTAAGCAAGACACTTAACCATTATTGCTTCGTCCTTCGGATGGAATGTAAAGCCGTAGGTCCCGTGTGTTGTGTAATGCACGTAAAATAACCAAGCAGCACATATGGCTAAGTTTCTGGCAGTGCGTTTATCTTCAACCATATGAAGGCAGCACTTGTTAGGAAGGCAGGAAGGAAGGAGGAATCCAAACACAGCTTGGACAAGGGTCTAGTACTCCAGACTAAAATTCAGACCCCGATTGGGACCAGTTGTGAGAGGCTTTGCCCAGAGAAAATTCACCCCCAGCCCACGTGAAGATGGGCACTGGTATGAAAAGTGTGAAGACCTGGACTGGATCCTCTCACGATGGACCCATGATGATTTTTAACAAGTGTGAAATAGTGTGAACGGCTTTTGCGAAACACTCACAGCTGTGGTATCGTACACGTGGGCGGATCCCATCATAGCCCCGCCCACTGCGGTGCGTTTCTCCGGCAGGATGGTGTAGAGCGAGGGCGTCTCTCCGCCTTGGTCCATCGCGTCTTCAATCTTCTTCTTGCGGAGCTCAATCATTTCCGGCGTCTCCATGCCGGTGGGAATAGATGTCAACCCACTGGGGGTAATCAGACCACTGGAAATATAAAACAACAAAAAGATATCAAAATTTTGGACTGAGAGCTGGGTTATATCATACTTACTCAACAAAATTACCAAAAAGGTTGGCCAGTCACCACCTCTGTTCCTTATTTAAAGGTACCGGTAGAGTCATAATAATCGTAGTGCTTATATAGCGCTTTCCATCGTATCAACAATCTCAAAGCGCTTTACAATTATTCCCCCGTTCATCAGGCCATGGGACCACACGGTAGCCGATAACAGTCAATCGGTCTTCGACCCTCACAGGTACCCATTTATACTCCTGGGTGGAGAGAGGCAATTGTAGTTAAGTGTCTTACCCAAGGGCACAAACACCATGTTCCTGCAGGGTTCGAACCCACGCACCATCGTGCGTCAGTCAAACACAGTAACCACTGGACCATGTCATAGAGTTCTACACTCAACCAACCGGTTCTTTTCAGAACCACACTTCTTCCAAGAAGAGATTACTTTCCACATGGTGTTACCTTGCAATCTTTCTACTTTATCTCATCAGCCATGCAAAGCTTCAAGTCATATATGCGGTAGAGTAGATCATTTGTCATTGGTGCATTTTTTCCTATGATGCAACAAAAGTGCTCAAAATCTAAAGACGGGTGCTTAGCAACTAAACCTGATGAAGCGTTAGCTCTGTGAATGCTGTATATTTCGAGAAAACACAGTATTCTGGATCTCGATTTCAATTCAAAAGTTGCCGAGTCATGACACAATCCCGAAATCAGCATTCGGGACGTGATTCTCATTCAGCCGATGATTCTTGCTAATAATAGCAAATATGCGCGCGTGTGCGTCTTGTCAACGTGCTTGCACCCATTCACAGATTCGCCAAATCACAAACCAACTGGAAACGGAAATTTCCAAAAATGTGTCACTTGACGCAACTTTGGGAATGGCTTTTTCTTGTTTTCTTCAAAATGACAGCATGCCAGAAGGAATAACTTCAAAGGAAGTTTAGTTCAAGCCCGCGGGAACGGGGGTGCTGTGGGTGCTGCAGCACCCCCAACGTTTTGGATGGGGGTGCTGGAATATACTACAGCACCCCCTACTCCCGGCAAAAATGTGTTCCAGCCAGCAGTGTTTTACTACGATGAAATTGCGCCGCTATACTATACATTTTGCTTGTTCTTAAAAAATCTCCTTCCATTTTGTTCGCTGTTAGTATTGCCGCGGCTAATTAGGGCGGCGACTTCAAACGTCTAAGCACAGGCCGTAGATACCCGATATGGCGAGAAGCGTTGAAAACTATTAAGTCACATCACCCACCCGGTACATCGCACGTGCCCTATCCTGTACGACAAGTAGGCATAACGTATGGTAAAACGCATCATGCGAAGAACCCGTGCATGATTTACGTCCGTGCTCTGATCTTTGGACCACATTATTTGCGGTCAAGGGGGTCAGTAGCCATTACAAATTGACCAGTCCAAAGTCACGTCACAATCTATTCAAATGAAGGGTCATTCCGTGTCAAATCACCCCCGAAAATTGGAAGTTTAAACCCCAGCACCTTCAAATTGGTTCATAATAATAGTGCATGGGTAATCTTTACTGAAAAAGCTGAAGTTTTAAGTTTTAACACCATCAGACAAACGGTTTTTGCGCTACCACCCGCCAATTTTCAAATGAAGGTATCTCCATAACCTGTGGGCCAAATTTGTTGATCCTGGTTTCTTTGGAAAGGTTACATCATACGAAATCCAAATTTACTATTATTTCTAATTTGTAATTTGAAGCATGATGACCTTGACCTTTACTTTGACCTTGTGGATCCCCTGACCTTTAGACGAACTCAGAGTATTTGTTTTGTGTTTTCTCACCCGTCTGCCGGTGTGATCAGTCCCGTCTCATCCACTTCTCCTTCTTCACCTTCTTCTTCTTCACTCTCCTCCTCAGACGATGACTCCTCCGATTCGCTCTCCAGCTCACCCCAGCGGGTACGGTCCACTTCCTCTTCTTCTTCCTCCTCCTACAAAACAGGGAACAAATGAAAACAAAAAATTCATGGCACTCAACAAAGATGTACGAAAGTAAAAGGCAAAGTCTGTCTAAAGCAAATATGGCAAAGAAGCTGGTGCTTATCTTCAGTTACATTGGCACTGAAAAGCCTGAGAATACTTTTTTTACTCTTGATGGTGGAGACAGGCAATTGTGGTAAAGTGGCTTGCCCAAGGACACAACAGTATGGCCAATGGCAGGATTCAAACCCCTGACCCTGTAATCATGAGTCGCAGACCCTATCCACATGTCAACACATCCCGTATCAACCAAAAAATGAAATCCAAATTTACTGCATCTTAACATGTATAATGGACATTTGGAAAGACTCAATATTTTCCAATTTCAGTGAATCCTGCAGGGTATTTTATTTGCTGTTGAGGTCAAAAGGTAAACTACTTCTATGTGTAAAAAATGGAGCATACGGACCAGGCTAAAGATACATATCACCACTTTCTGTCGTTTGTGTCCAGATACCTCCTGGGCAGATCCACTGTGTTGGTCGTATATTTTGGACAATTCAACAGTGGCATAATTACAGTTATAATCGTACGGTGGATTTTAATCCAATAAAATGTATCAGATAGTTACTACAATGATTTTAAAACGAAATTACTCATCCAACCTTTTCGCAGAAGAGGAAATTGGTTCGAAAACACCAAGGTACCGGACGTACTCAGACAAACTGGGGTTTTTTTTGTACCCATTAACCCTTACTCTCTGAGGGTAGTTTACTGCATGTCAGTTGGTTATGCCAATGCCCTCCAGCTGCAGTATATTGGCAGATAAACTATCTTGACAGTGAAGGCTCCAATTGGCAGGAGTTGGAGGCCCTGGAGGGTGCCAGATACTGACCAGCTGGGGGCACTCACTTTGTTATCAGAGGACTCTCATTGTTCTCTGTGGCATGTATTGGAGTGCCTGTCCAGTTACCCTTGAAATGACATGGCAGATATTGGAGGGCCATGTAAAAAACATAGGAGATTTTCTTGAGGCACATATTGGCATGCGTTGGAGGGTCAAGTAGGGTAAGGGTTAATATTTGTGGTTCAGTTGCAAGTAACAGCCGAACGGTTGAACATAAAATACACCGAGGTTTCTAATCTTGTAAAAATTTATCTCTATGTTATTCTTGTTATTCTGTCCTCAAATACAATTTAACATTGACAACCAAGAGGAGAGAAGAGGCATAAGCAGGCATGCAACTGAGAATTTAGAAAAAAAGAGGAAACTCCAAACCACACAAGACTTTGTACAGTGTTTTTCAACTTGTAATGGCATTCATGAGAAGTAAAAAACGAGGAAATCAGCGGATCCGAGGAAATGTTGCATGCCTGCATAAGAGGTTTCGCTCCCATCCAGTTTGTTGAATAATTTCGACATTCTTGAAACTTCCATCATTCCAATTCACAAGTTAAGTATATTTTTTTCGAGTGGAGTTGTGGTTTTACCTTGAAGTCAGCTGCGTTGGTTCCAAAGACGTCTCCATAGAGTGGCTTGCCTGTTTCGTCTACAGGAGGCTTCCCCCAGCCCCCAGCGTGGTAGCCAAAGGAGCAGGTCTGGAACAAAACCAATCCCCCAAAAATCAAAATATGAGTCTTGTAGTCAAGACATTTTCTGACTTGATGAAGACCAAGTGTTATTTTCGTAGGGATACGACGCGCCGCAGCGTTGAGATGCATTGTAAGTTACGATTAATTTTCGTGAAATCGGGTGCCGGCACACAAAGAGCAAACACACCAGATCAAGCACACTCAAATTTGAATCCTTGTGGAGACTTCGCTTTGTTCTTGTGTCCAAAATCTTGAGCGGGTCGAAAGATATTTTCAAAATGCTCCTAACGTAGAATTACTTTTCTAGGTTGAAATTCCGACCAAACATCCCTTAAATGAAATACTTTAATTTGCGACAGGTAAGTATACCTTGGAAATTATCCACATATATAAGTTGTGAAATCCTTGTAGAGACCTATTCACTTTTAAAATTTGCCTTGTAGAGACCTTCACAATCTTTTGTTCCGTACTGCACCGGGGTCTCCACAAGGCATCATTTTTTGAAACACAGAGCCTCACACAGTGGTTCCAAGATGCCATACTTACCTCAGGGATGGGAGCATTCAGACCGCTAATCTTCAGGTTCGGGTAGGAGGGGGGTGGACCGTATCGCTGCATCGCTATCAACCACGGGGGAGGGTACTTCTGAGAATTCTGTCAACAAGAATCAGTAACAATTGTAAATCAACAAAGTGTCTCCCATGATATATAGTTTGCAAGTTTATCTAAAATACAAGGTTAATAATGTCAGTATAAAAAGGCTGGAAGAGTGAGTTCCGAGAGCCTCCAAGCCAAGGCACCTCTCTGCACGCAAGCCCAAGTGGGTTAAAACCTCAGTGAACATTACAATTAAAGGAAACATTTCTTCAAACTAGATGCATTTCTACATGAGGGAATGAGACGTTAAAGGGAATATACATCATTTGCTTTTGCTGTAATTTTCAGAAATGGATGGAATTGGGGGGTTGGAAATATATAGCAAATATAGTTACACTGACTATTTTGAGGTTTTGGGTTCGAAAATGCTATAAAAACCAAGAAAAACAATAATTTTCCTGTAGTCTGGTTCCCTGACTCCATATAAGAAGAAACAGAGCAGTTTACAAACATTGGGGAATTGTAAGGTCAGGGAACCAGTCTAGCTGGCTTGTACCCGTTCATAGGTATGTAATTGATTGCAAACAAGTGTGATGGTCAACTGGGGCCAGTATTTGGAAGAAAAAAAATGTTTTTTTCCAACGCTGGTCGGCCGACCAGCGTTGGAAATTGATACAAAAATACCACTTTTCTTGAAAATGACAGTATACCAGGTGCCATGATTTTACAGGATGCTTTACACTGTCATTCACTAACAGTCCAGCAAGGTATTTCAAAATGATTTGGTAGTTTTATTTTTTGATGTTTGCAAATGTTGTATTTTCCCTTTAAGCACTCTAGTCATTTACTATGCCAGTTTACTCACAGGGCCTATGGGCATGCCCAGCGCCGTCTTGAGCTCATCAGACAGCTCTCCCGGCTTCTTCTCCTTGAGTCGGGTCTCAAACTCTTTGCCTTCGTAGTACAAATCACCGTGGATTGTCATCTTGGGCTTGGTTTGCCATCTAGGAAAAGAAAGGCATCCAGTACATGGAGAAACTTGACAGGGGAATCTAGGAATCATATATTTGCGTAGAGATCAGCAGAACTTTCAATCCCAAAACCTGTCAGAAAAAATACCTATGAATAGACCATGTCGATTGTTGATGATCCTATGACTCCATTCACATGTACCCCAGCCCCTCAACGGTTTTAACGGGTGGGTCAAATGAAAGTGGCCTGGATTAATGATTTGCTTTTTTAAAATGCAATCAAATTTGAAAACACGAATGAACATTGTCTTAAAAGAGCATGTTCTTCCACTCATCTGAGAAAACGCGTTACTGAAATTGATCCATGCTATCTGAAGTTATGGAGATATTGGCATTTTCAGCGGATTGAAAAATTCATTCAAAGAACAAGGGCTTCATAATCAGTCCAAAAAAAATTAACATAGTTTTTTATTGACTTGAGATGGCCTAAAGAAGATCCTTGTAGCAAAAATTCTTGATTATAGAGGACTTGAAAGGTGCCTACTGGTATGAAAAATCTTCTTGCCAAGAGAATAAGACTATTTCCAAAGATAACAACTTACTTGAAGAAGGCATCGTGAAGTTTCTGGTAGTCGATGTCTATCTTGCCCATCTTGGGCCGAACTTTCTGTCTCATCTTAGTCTTCATTGTCTGCTGTTCCTCCTGGGTGTCAAAAGATATACTGGTCATTATTTTGTCTTTGACACTGCAGTCTTATTGGTCTAGAGTGGTCACGTGTCATGTTTGTAAAAACAAACGTAACATCGTTGACACCACGTAAATAACGGTCTAGCAAACTGTTGATGTTACACAAGCGCACACTGTGTAGGGCATGCTCCGCAACAGCACTTTTTTCTGGAGCAAGGAAAGCTAATTATCAATGGTAAAGGGCCTGTCACATTATATGCGCTCTCATAGGAGACCTTACGGCGACCAATTTTTTTTCATAAATTTAAAAATCGCAGCGAGGACGCAATAAAATGACAACTTTCTGTCTCAAAGAAGCTCAAGCTACGCTCATACTGTGCTCTTCCTGCGCTTACGATGCGTTCAACTCGCTCTCTATGCGCCCCTGTCAAGCTCAATTACTCGATCTAGTCGCTGCCGCTGCGCTGTCACTGCGCCCACACTACGCTCTGCTCGCTGTTGATACGTCCTAGTAGCATGCGTCGCGCTCTCTATTCGACCAAAATACGCTCATGTGACGTCACTTGCACTGTATAAATACCACGACAAAACAGTCAATACAACGTCCAGTTTAAAAAAATTATTCTACAAGTTCATCGCAGTCGAGTTACTTTCTCATGAAGACTACGTCGACTGCCTTGCGCCTAAGCTGCCTCAATGCTATTTCAATGTCGCACGATTCACGCTCGCACAGCGCCTGAGTTGCGTCATTACGGCGCCCTGGCCAGAGCGCAGAGGTGTTGCGATTGTTTTGAGCATGTTCAAAGACCTTTGCGCTCATCGAAGACCATTAAGACTCTCTGGCGCCCATCTGGCGACCTATGTACATTGTAGTTGTCGCTGCGATCTAGTAGTTGTTGTTGCACCCCAGCTATTTTTCAAGGACGCAGTGAGAGCGCATATAAGATCGCAGACAGTGTGAAAGGGCCTTTACATTTCCATAATTCAATTCATTTCTTGATATGCAGGACAGATCTTTTGAACTTATTGGCAATTTATTGATGAAACAACTATTGTTTTGTTACACTTTCAAGACAAATGACTGATAAGCTTCCACTACCGTTGGGTCATACATGTACTTGAGTACTAGCACTCGTACACAGACGGAAGTGTTGAATATTAAAAATCATAATTACAAAACGCTAGATAAAACTGTTTTAACCCCAACTGAACTCAACCCATCAAAGTTCAACAGCAGGTTTTGTTTAAATCTGTTGGGATAGGTACAGTACCCCTAAACAGATGGTCTTTTACACTGGGGTTGGCATACCTCCAGAAACTAAGTCCAACAGTATGTGTGTACAATTTCCCATGTGGGTGTTGGAATTTGCCAGAATGGGTATGGTTCCCAGTAAATTAGACTGGGGAATTAGGGTTACTGTAGTAAACATGAATGTCTCTTCCAGCATACAAAATTTCTTAAACTCTCATTCACCGAGTTAAGAAGTAGGGTGGCATCTCCCCCTTCCCGCCCCCCCTCCCCCTTATCGGCTGTAAGATGACCCCAAAACTTGGCTCTTTTAAGGTTAGAACAGTGCATGCAATATACTTCTGTGTCATTCCCAGTTGGTTTTTTTTAACCTTTTCCTGCAGGGCCTGCCTCATTTCCATGATGCCTGTTCGCATGATGAACTCCGGCAGCTCAAATGCCGGCTTTTCAATGCCTCGTTTCCCCTGCAGGTACTTCCTCTTAAAGCACCAGTGTCTGGGTACAGGAACAGTGTTCCTGTAAGCCTGTGAAAGTAAAGAGGTTGATTAAACAGGTGACTTTGAGGTCTACCTCAAGGTTTAGCTCAAGGTTTAGCTTAAGGTTTACCTCAAGGTTAAGCTCGAAGTCTACCTAAAGGTTTAGCTCGAGGTTTACCTCAGAGTTTAGCTTAAGGTTTAGTTCAAGGTTTAGTTCAAGGTTTAGTTCAAGGTTTACCTTGAGGTTTACCTTGAGGTTTACCTTGAGGTTTACCTTGAGGTTTACCTTGAGGTTTACCTTGAGGTTTACCTTGAGGTTTACCTTGAGGTTTACCTTGAGGTTTACCTTGAGGTTTACCTTAAGGTTCAGATCGAGGTTTACCTCAAGGTTTACCTCAAGGTTTAGCTCGAGGTTTACCTCAAGGTTTAGCTCGAGGTTTAGTTTTGAGGTTTAGTTTGAGGTTTTGCTTGAGGTTTAGCTTGAGGTTTAGCTCGAGGTTCTCCTCAAAGTTTTCTGAGGTTTTACAGGGCTTTACAGGGTTTCACGGGGTAGCATTTGTTTAATTTGGATTCCTCACTAAATACATTATTTCAAATTTCTCCCTCAAGGTTTTCTGAGGTTTTACAGGATGTTACGGGACAACAATTGTTTAATTTGGATTCTCATCAAGGTTTTCCGAAGTTTAACAGTGTTTTACGGGGTAACATTTGCTTAATTGGGATTCTTCACTAAATAAATTTAGAAAGGCTCCTAGAGTCAAGAAAGGACCCTGGAGATATAAAATTCCCATGAAGGGCCGTCTCACTCCCAACAAAGGCAAATTTCATAGAGAAGTAAAGCGAAAAAAACAAATTTTTAAGCCACAACAAAAAAGAAATGAGCAAACAGACTGGCAAACCAACTGTCTCATAATGTTAACTGCTTGGGACTAAGTCCTCAGGAAATTTTTGCTAACCACTGATTTCTGCTGAGAAGGTTCGATGGAATTGGGCCCAAATAAGTGGCATTTCCTGCTGGTCTCAGAGGGCCAGCATAGTGACCTCTTTGTACCTACCGTACCTGACTGACGGACTGATTGACTGACAGACTGATTGTCCGTCTCTTGCGACTTTGTGAATGTAGGCAGGTGAAGAGTGCTGGGCAGTGCTATCATATAGGTTTACCCCGTAATGCAAATGAAGTGGCTAAATCCAGCCCATTGTGTAGACCGGATGTATGAAAAGGCTTCGAGTCAACACCCATTCTGAATTAAATGTGTAGAATTTTGCAAGCTTCGGGACTAGCTTTTACTTGGCTTGCTTTGTCTTGTTCTTTTTCAAGCAGACGGCCAACATACCTTGAGGTAGACCAGTAGCTTGGGGTCTCTGGCCGTCACATCATGCATCTCCACCACGTCCGGCCTGTGCACCAGCTGTTTGAGCTCCGCCACGCTCAGACGATTCATCTTACGCATTTTCTTCTTGGACATCTTTGGACCCTCGTCTTCCTTCTGATGAGGAAAAAATAAGTGACATCATAGAATCGTGAACAATTGATCATAGTTCTAAGTCAATGAGGACGCTTTAACGGCATACAGGATCATTTGCAAACACTCCAATGGAACTGACAAAATATCATGAAATAGGCAACTTGATTGTAAGTAATAGTATAAAACACCCTGTGTAACCGTTGAGCCTAACATGCTGTCATGCTCAAGAGAAGAGGAACTTTGTATCAGTACTAATGATGGTTAGGACCTAACCATCGCTGAAAAGAAACAATTTTCTGAAATACTACATCTGTTAAACGGCCGTGAGACAGCTGTTGACTTCATGCGTTCACTCTCGTACGCTAGGTATATATGTATGTATTACTTCCCACGACACAACCAGCATGCGGGCACAGGGTGACCTATTGGTTCTATGCATGACTAATGACATGAGCTGCGCTGCGATGGTTGAAAATGACCAGCGTTTTATTCTATGCGTGTTTTTTCCAGCATCAATGGACACATTGAACAGCTCAGTGGAACGACGTTTGCTAATTGTGTCTAAATTAATCGCCCTTAAATCGGCCGGTTTCATGAAAATATGAAATATGCTGACCTATCCATTACCTATAGAAAGCAATGCCACTGTAGGGGTATAAACACACACACACACATCTGACGTTATTGGCGTAAATTTACATGTTGCTACAATCCAAAAATTACATTTTTTACTATCTCCGATTTATAGAGCAAAGTAAACACTAAACTGCTTAAATAAACAAGATTTTTCTGGTGTTTTGCTCCTCAATCGCCCAAAAATATCAGCCAAATGGGCGATATAAACGCCATTTCTGAGAAAACTGTTTCTGCCAAAAATAGCCACCCTAAAAACCTGGTAATGAAATGGCATGTTCTGCAACAATTTATATTACTGCACAACCAGTTAACTTGAGACCTGTCCCCATATAAATGTATGTGGGTAAGCAAATCACTGGTATATATTCAAAGTTGTCTGTCTTTGGATTGACTAGATGCACGTATGCAAGAAAATTTCGGAAGTGTGGATGGCATCCTTGTTTAGTACAGCGATGATCAACAGGCCCGAAACATAATGTGTCACGCCTTGTTTACAAGTGCCTTTACAAGGGAGCTCGGTGAAGACAAGAGAAAACAAGAACTCATAAGAAAACAAGTAACTGAAACTTGACGTTATTATGTCAGGTCTAAGCGGGCAACACGGCCATGGAGAATCAGCAGCACTAGTACTGCTTCATTGCCTGAGTTTGGGACTGTACAGTAATTGTGCAAATGGAAAGATCATACACAAATGTGTAAATTCAAAGACTATTCACAAATCTTCAACCCTCCTATGCAAACATACATTCTGTGCCAAGTAGTCCTTTCAGTCAAAATCAAACACGTGACTGTTTTCAACAGTTAAGAATTCCCAGCCTACAAAAAGCAGGATTGACTGGCTGGGACTGTTTAAGTAACTTGATACAGCTATGCTTTGACTCCGGGTGAGTGATAAAACAGCTGTGACCACAACTTGCCTGCTTTGTCTGTTGACCCAGTTTGACTAGTCACAGTGCTTGCTGGACATATGATCGGACTGCTGGTGACTAGCCTTTGTTAAAAGTACAGCAGGGGAAGTGGAAGTGAATTTCGACTGTCTGTGACTGTTTAAATAGCAGGAGGGTTGAAGAGCGTTTTGGATTGGAGATCATACCTTTTCATTGTCGGAGTCAGAATCTGAGTCTTCATCGTCTGACGTCTTCTTCTTAGGTTCATCCTTCTTTATTTCCGGAAGCTTCTCGACTTTCGGTTCCTTGGCTGCTGAATCTGGCTTGCCTGGCTCCGACAACTGCAATTTGTTTTATAAATGTAACAGATACAAAGTATTATCTGCCCTGCCAGAGAACATCTGTTTGACCAGAATGCGATATACGCCATTTTGTTTCCCCTTTAGAATCCTGCTCTCTCCTGGATGCCCAAAAGCAATTTCAACGGCTGTTATATACTTGAACACAACTTAAAGAGGTTGTGGAATGCTCGAAGACATTTCCGTCATTTTTGGGGGATATGTAGCCTAAGGTGTGATGAAATAAAAACGACTATTGTTTCTGTCATAAAATGAGTAAAAAAGGTACTTTTGAAAGCTGTTTTTCAAGTCCTGTCATGCCTGTTTCGACCCGAACGTGCAATTTGTGCAAAAGTCGTCCTTGCGGGCAGCAAACAAAACACAGTAAATCGTGACGTAATAAACAGGACTCCCGATGCAGAGTAGCACAAACGAGTCCTGTTTATTACGTCACGATTCACTGTGTTTTGTTTGCTGCCCGCAACGACGACTTTTACACAAATTGCACGTTCGGGTCGAAACAGGACCTGAAAAATAGCTCTCAAAAGTACCCTTTGTACTCATTTCATGACAGAAACAAAAGTCGTTTTTATTTCATCACACCTTAGGCTACATATACCCAAAAAATGACGGAAATGTCTTCGTGCATTCCACAACCTCTTTAAGAATACAACAAAGTGCAAAATGAAGTTTAGAAATAGCTGTTATTATTGATGTACCCTATTAACCTGACCCGGCCCCTAACGTGGCGCACTTTTATTTTTCGCCTGCAGCGCCTAGCTAGAGCAAAAGTTTAAACTGAAATTTCACAGAAAGTGAAATTTCATCAAGTTCTAAACACTCCCGTTCATAAATCAAGAGTTTATCTACCCATTACAAAGTTAGAAGAAAAAATTATTTCAGCGTGATTTTCCGATTTTATTTCGAAGTGCACAGTGAACCCTTTGAAAATGTCCCCAAATATTAGAAAATAATTTTCTGACAAACTTCTAGTGTTCTAGGGTATGCAAGTAGAGATAATAATGGTTTATCAGAAGTTATCAGCTTTATAGAAATTCTTAAATGTCAATTTAGAATTTTCTGAGATTTATTCAAGTGCGCCACGATAGGGAACACTCAGCTGATTTGTGCCCAATTTCCAGACGCCACTGTTTTTAAATTTTGGATTAAATTTCATGACACCGAAATTGTTCACAGAGGTTAAATAGCAAGCATTAATAAGGTTAAAGTACCAGTATTTCACTGCATGAATTTGAAGTTTGTCAACAAAGAAGTTTGGCAACACTGATGTGGAAAGTCGGGGTAAACGTCGAAGTGTGCCACGTTAGGGAACACCACTATACTGTTTTTATTCTTAAATGGTTATGCCGCGTTTTTGAATTTTTTTTTCTTCTTTAAAGTGATGTCACTGCTGTGATGTCATTACAGGAACACACTCAATAATTAGGATTTTAGGAAACAAATTGCGAACCCAAATGTTTTCCAATTAAAACATTTGTATTGGCCATTTGCAAAATAACTGACTTTTGTGTACTCAAACAACAATGAATCACCAAAAACTGAGGTCCCCCCCCCCCATATGCTATTGATGCTGAAGTAACTGTGACACTGAAGCTTTTGCCTTGAATGACATTTGCACGCACAACACAAACTTAAACAGCCCTGAAAAACTCTTTACATTGTAAATAGGCACACAAAAAATAGAAAAAAATATATATAATTGTACACAAAGATACATATTTGATTGCTATCAAAAAATTCAATTCCATGGGTCCTTTTAAAATCCTAACCCTGCCAGACGCAACACAGTGCATCAGGTGGAAAAGTCTGGTGCACTTTGATGCATTCAGCTATCAACACCTATACAATCAAACCATACGATCAACAGGTTATACAATCAAATATGTATTAAAGAGGGCACATGTGGTCTAGCGGTTGAGCACAGGATTCATGATCGTGGGATTGTGGGTTCAAGCCTCACCGTGGCCATGCATGTTGTGCCCTTGAGTAAGCCGCTTCACCTCAATTACTCCTCTCAACAACCCCCCCCCCCCCCCATCAACACCAGTGCATAAACGGCCAGTTCTGAAACAATGAGAGCTAGTGCAATTGAATGCCACAGTTGTATCCTGCTGCATTCGGTGACCACAGACTCTGAGGCAGTTTGGCCTTGAGACTTTTGACCTGATGGATCTTGCTACACTGGGCAGGTTTGTCACTTAGACAAGTGTTGCCTGTTGCTGCGTTTGGCAGGGTTTCTAGCCAAAATACCCTGGAGGGTTAGGGTCAAGGGGTACCTTGAATGCCTCAAAGATTCTGCTGAACTGCCTGACGCTGGGGTCACTCATGTCCACTGGTTCAGGGACATATTCCACCTCTACCCCATGGTCGCTCTCCCCTGCCTGGTCGACCGAGGGGCCCTCCTGGGCCTGCAACAACTGCTCCACTTTCTTGGCTGCCTTGCGACGCTTCTTCTTCTTCTTACGCCTCTGGTTCTTGGTCTGGAGTAAGGATAGAGATGATGATTTATGGATCATTTTGTAAGTTTGGGATCCAAATTTGGGTGCCTACAGAAATACGATCTCACTGTTAGTGACTAGCCTGTGTAAAAGACACAGCAGGGGATGTGGAATGAGTTTTTGACTGTCTGTGACTGATCAAATAAAAGGAGGGTAAGCATTTTCACAGACAGGAAACAGCAAGTCAGAACATACAAACCACCAACTATGCCTTTTCAATAAGCCAGTTCGGTACTCCAACTGCGCATGTGCACATCAAGATTTGCTGATTTTTCTTTCGGAATAAAAATGTCATAGTATGCGTGCAAAAGCATAGCGGGGTACCAGCAAAATTGAAGAGATATCATGTTCTCAAGTATAACATTTTGCAAAAAACGTTTTGTTTTTAGGTGTTTTGTGTGTCAAACCTTTTGTGCAAACTAAATTTCCATCTCTATTCAATTGCACGAAAAATTGCACAGAATGCAGATTTGGTTACCACCTCCCCATAGCCTTGTGTGCATTTATCTGCTGCGGTTATCCTGAAAAAAAATCGTCAAATGTTGCTGTGCACCAGACTATTTTGGAATACCGAACTGGCCTATTGATCTTCTGCCTGTCCTTTCAGACAGACGGAAGGATTTGCAGGTGTAATTGAATCGTTTTTCTCACCAGTTTCTTAGCTTGCTGTGGCCCCCCTGACGAGGCCTCCTCGAATCCCTCGTCATCATCTTCTCGTTCGTCGTCTTCATCCTCCTCTGCGGCCTCCTCTGCATCATCACCCTGCACTCCAAACCCAGCCAAGTCTGCGAGTGGAAATGGGCAGGTAAAGAATAAATTTGTATTAAGATTGTACAAAATAATAGCGCATGTGGAGTACTGTGGCCTCGTGGTCTTGAGCATTGAACTCGTGGTCTGTGGGTAATTCTGCAGGTTGTGGGTTCGAGTCCAGTCTAGAACTCGAACCCACCATCAGCAGAGTTACTAACAGATCTTGAGTTTGATGGTCCACATTGCATTTAGATTATAACAGTGAAATTCAATTCCATCTAATGTTAATATGTTTACGATCACGCAACACTCATGTGTATACATACAAAATGCCTGCACCCAAGACCTGCCCAAAAGTATTCTTTGTGAGGGAATGAGGAATTAGTCATTAGTCATGAGTCGGGACCATGGTTTTAGTGAAGTTCTGCATGTAGCACTTTGAAAATCTAGGACATGAAAGCCCAATTCATAAGCTTTCTTCTATTACAAGAATCATTCAAATCACTCATGTACTTTTGAAGTTATGGAATTTTAAACACAACCACCGTTTTATAGGTCTGTCCACGGATCAACAGAAGGTAAGTGTTCTTTCAGCAAAACAAAAACAAATCACATAGGGATGTGTGTGATTTGCTTCGTTTTGCTGAAAGAACGCACACCTTTTTTGTGATCCGTGGACAGAACTTTAAAAACGGTGGTTGTGTTTAAAATTCCGTAACTTCAAAAGTACATGAGTGATTTGAATGAGTCCTAAACTAAAAGAAAGCTGATGAATTAGGTTTTCATATCCTAGATTTTCAAAGTGCTACATGCAGAACTTCACTAAAACAGAAGTCCCGACATTTGGCTTTTTTTGACTCACCCTGTACAGCTCCAGGCATCAGCCCAAAATATGTCGGCAAGAAAACTGCTCTTTGGATATACCCTTACCTTCTTCTTCCGTGACCCCATGCTCCTGGGCGCGCACAGTCTTGAATTCAAGCACTTTCTCCAGGGCCTGTGGTAGCTCAACGCTACCCTTCATCATGTCCTCATCATCTGTGAAAGGCAAAAAAATAAACAAAAGACTTTGGATCGATTTTGCTGCAGTGATATGTTTATGTTGGCTGTTCCCCAATTTTGAATTTGTCAATATCTTTGTTCAAAATTATTTTATGAGCATACTAAATTTACTGAAATTCCTCTCTGCAGGCAACCAATGGCACTTTTTAAGAACTTTTTATCAGAGGCCAGTTCTGCCTTCCTCATTCCTGAAAAATCAGTTGATTTTATGAAATTCATCGTAACAGTCTGAGGATCTACTGTAAGACATACCATGCATCACAGGGGTACGGTCAATATTGGCCACAATGGGTTCCACAAAGGAGTTCAGTAAACTCAACAAGAGCGCAAACAGCAAATAGCCGTTATCATGTTCAGCAAACGTGCCATCAGATTTTCTTGCACAAGGTTTCAAAATCACAAATCTGTGACCAGCAAAGAGTTGATACTGATTGATGTACCTACCTTGGTCATTTTCATCCTCACGGCTGTCTGGGGTTGGGCTGTCGATATCTCTGTCTGACACCCCTGGTGGTCCAGGCATTCCCCTGGGCCTGTGCATGTAGGGTCGGTCCATCCCTGGCGGTAAAGGTAGGCCTCTCTGTCCCATCAGAGGAGTTGACAGGAGCGGTGCTGAAAAAACAAGCGCGAATTGAACTCAGAAGCTGCAGGCCAACGAATTTGTGTTTGTGCACGAGTCACACGATTGTGCCATGTAACCTACTTTGACCATTGACCCTATAACTGTAGACGAAGATGTCACCATGGACATTTTGTAATGTTTGACCAAAGCCAACATGTTGACAGCGCTACTTTTGTCATTGAGCTTCTTTGAAAATTGACCTTTGACCCCATAACTGTAGGTCAGACGAAAAGGTCACCATGGACATTTTTTAATGTTTGACCACGGCCAACATGTTGACAGTGCCACTTTTGTCATTTGAGCTGATTAGAAATTGGACGTTTTTTTGACCTTGACCCCATGATGACCTTGACCCCATGATGACCTTGACCCCATGATGACCTTGACCCCATGATGACCTTGACCCCATGATGACCTCTGATTCCCAGCTTGGTCAGAGGAAATATTGGGGCTGGGCTTCTTATTTTGACCTTGACCCCATGATGACTTTTGACCCCAGCTTGGTCAGGTGACATATTGGGGCTGGGCTACTGATACTTTTGACAAAGTTTGGTAGAAATCGGTCAAAAATTGTGGGACCAAGCCATGTCAACGTTTGTTAGGCCAAAAAAAAAAGTCTCCGGTTTATGGTATGCGCGCGCGTCGCCGTAGCCATGCGCGCGCGTCGCCGTAGCCATGCGCGTCGGCAAACTGCAAAAGTTTTTTTTTCAATGAAAGATGATGTCTCAAAACCGCCAAACTCACTGGTTTGACTGGAATCCTGCTGCTGCACAATTTTAACGTGTTTTTAGATGGGGTTATGATCGAGAATAAGCTTTATGTGGCTTCTCTGGACTCCCATGTATTTGCACTAAGTCTAGTCGGGCACCATTTGCAGTCATCAGCCGACATTTGAGGAAAAAAATCAGGTAAAAAAAAAAAAAAGCCGCGTCGCCGCACCACTTTTTGGGCAAGCTCCATACCAGAAACCGGAGACTTATTTTTTTTTGGCCTTACTAACTACTAACTAACTGGAAAGAATGTAGTATCCAGACACCACTTTAGTGGTTGTGTACAAAGTCTATGAAGAGTCAAGCAAATTTTCTAAGTATTTCCTAACAAAATTGGAAATGTTTCTCAGTCTCAGATTCAAGTCTTTTCACCATTTTTGCAATGACTGACCTTATTTGAGATGATTATATGAAGAAAAAAGTGGCGTCACGTTGCAACATTCTTTCCAACTAACTAACTAACTAACTAACAGAGAAACGTGACGACTTGTTGAGCTGCTATCCACAGCTAAAAACCAGTTGGATGGACAATATAAAGAAATTGTTGCTGGTGACACGAAAAAAATTAATTAACCAGCATAAACGTGGCATGCATTCTGAACCCCCAATCCACTCTGAGCAGACTCATATGTAGGACCGATATGCAAGGTGCGACTCACGTCTGTTTCGTTCACGCTGTCGCTCCTCCTGCTCCTCTTCTTCTTGCTGCCGCTGCTGACGTCGTAGCATTTCTTGGTGCTGCTGTATCTTCTCCTCTTCTTGTCGCTGCATCTCCATGGCAATCTGCTGTTGCCGTAGCAGCTCGACCTCCTCAGCTTCCTCCTCTTCCCGCTTCTGCTCTTCCAAGCGCATCTGAGATTGTTAAACAAAAAAAATCCAACAGATTGTTTTGGGGCATTCCTCAAAATGTTGCACACAATCCGAAATTCAGACAAATTTGAATTAAAAGCAATGGACTTTAAAACAAACCTGCTCTACTGTTTCACTCTAGTTATAGCCCGAATGCTGATTCAAAATAACGTAACATAGGTTTTTGGGGTTGTCCTAGTAATAGCAAAACATTAAAATCATTGAAGATACTGGCCCTGTTTTCTGTGTTTTGAGTCATGTGGCAACGTACCTGTTGCTCCTCTTCAGCTCGCTGCTGTTCCTCCAGCATCTGCTGTTGTTGCAGGACCTTCTGCCGAGTCTCTTCGTCTTGACGCTGCTTCTCTTCCTGTCGCTGCCTGATCCGTTCCTGCTGCTGTTGCAACAGCCGCTGCTTCTCCTTCTCAATAAGCTCCTGCTGCTGCTGCAGAATTCTCTCTTCCTCCTCGCGCTCCTTGGCTGCCAATTCTGCTGCTGCTGCCAGCTGCTTGGCTTCCATCTCTGCTTGCTGTGCTCGCATTCTCTCCTCTTCCCTGGCTGCTGCCTCTTGCTGTTGCTGACGCAGCTCCTCCATGCGCATCTGCTCCTCCTCCTGCTGCTGTTGCATTGCCTCCTGCTGCCGACGCTTCTCTTCTTCCATCTGAAGCATAGCCTGTTCCTGCTGTCTGCGTTTCTCCTCTTCCATCTGCTGCATAGCTTCTTCTTGCTGCCGCCGCTGTTCTTCCAGCTGTTGCTGACGCTGCTCTTCTATTAATCTCTGTTGTTCCATGATCAGTTGCTGTCGTCTCTCTTCCTCCTCTCGCTGCCGCTGCTCTTCTAGCAACCTTTGCTGCTGTGCAATCAGCTGCTGCTGGCGCTGTTCTTCCAGGAGACGTTGCTGCTGCTGCTGTTGCTGCTGGCGCTGTTGCTCTTCCAACTCTTGCTGCTGCTGTTGCTGCAGGAGTCGGTGGTGTTCTTCAATCAGGGCCTTCTGCCTTTCCTCTTCCAGCAGCTGCTGTTGATGGCGTTGCTCTTCCATTGCTTGAAGCTGGCGTTGACGGTGCTGTTCTTCCAGGATGTGCCTCTGTCGCTCTTGCTCCTCTGCCAGTTGAGCTCTCTGCTGCTCAATCAGCTGCTGCCGCTCTTCCTCCTCTCTTTCTTTTTGGCGCTGTTGTTCTAGCAGCTGCTGCTGTTCTAGCTGCTTTTGATGTTCCAACTGGCGTTGCTGCTCCATCTCCTGTAGGCGGCGCTGCTCCAACATCTGCTGCTGTTGCTGCTGCTCAGCAAGTTGCTGCTGCCGCTTCTGTTCCTCTTGTCTGAGCTGCTCCACCCTCTGCTGTTCCCTCATTTGCTGCTCAAGCTGTTGCTGGCGTTGTTGCTCCAGGAGCTGCTGCTGGCGTGCCTGATCTGCCAGCGCTTGCTGCTGCTGTTGCTCCTCCAGCTGCTGTGCACGCAGTTGCTCCAAGTGCCGGCGCTGCTGCTCCTCAAACAGCTGTTGCTGCTGCTGCTGTTGCTCCAAAATGTGCTGCTGTTCTTTGAGCTGCTGCTGACGCTGCTGTTCAGCAGCAAGGAGCTGTTGCTGCTGATGTATCAGTTGCTGCTGGTATACCATCTGCTGCTGTTGTAGCAAATCACTTGACATGCCTGGCACATCCTGTTAATAAACCAAGCAAACAGTTTATTAGAATATCATTATGTACAATGTATTCTTGTGTAATGGAATTTCTGATAACAATGCCCTAATGCAGCATTTCCTTTTATATAAAAAACTGTTGCCCACATTTCCTTGACAATGCTCCTCGTGTTACATTTTGAATTAGACATTTTTCCACACAATACAGTCATTTTGAATAGCATTCTACAGACTGTTGACTTTCTGTTCAAAGTACACTTGACACATACATATAATTGAATTTTTAAAATAAATTTGCCAATTTGTTTTCCATTACAACATTGATTTTTGGTCAGTACATATCCGGTGAGGAACAGCTGCTGCAGATAACAATCCATAGATTCCAAGCGTGCATTTATAACAAAAAATCTAAACTTTGAAGTTGATTATAAATCATAATTTTTTCCTAAAATGGTGAGTTTGTGCAAGTATTTCATAATTCTGATGCTCATCAAAAACAAATTTCATGTGAAATTTTGATTCACAGTATTGAGTGTACGTACCAAAGGTTTAAGACATGTGCCACGACACGTGACACATAAAATTACCGTACAAGACTTAAGTTGTATCATCACATAAAATATTTTCAAATCACAATCTGGTTCAATGTCTTTTTCTTCTTTAAATTCCCTTCGCAGTAAAGGTAACCAGACTCAGGGGTGTGAGTGACCACTTATAAAAATAGCTGAAAATAGCTGGGGAAAAGGTGTAAAGCAGCTGAACTTTGGATATCTCCTATACTTTTGTACAGGGAAAAAGCTGAAAAAAGCTGAAATCCAAAACAAAAAAAAGCTGAAATCAGCTTAAAAGCTGAGATTTCACACGCCTGCAGACTACTGAAGCTAAAAAACATAATAGTTTTGCTTCCAGTTACCCTACATGTACCTACCCTATTTTGACAGCCCCTACCCTAATTTTTTGGGGGGAAAATGAGGAAAAACCCCAAACACCATCAATTACTACCTTTTACCCTTGACTACACGAAAAACACCTCCACATGAACACCAAAAAAAAACCGCCAAAAGTCCCTACCTACCTACCCTCTTTTCAAATGCCATGTAATCGGAAGCAGAACTATTTTTTTAATGGCCTGACTGGTCCATCTTTAAAAAAAAACCCATTAAATAAGTTGGCTTTATTGAGATCACTGTAGTGTATAAAGTTTGAAGAAAACAATTCTATTTTACTTGTAATGTGAAGTTGGACCTCCAATTAGGCTGCTAAAAAATAACAAGACCTCAACTCCGCCTTATGGAAATTTTAAAGCAATTCTTTGGATAAAACACGAATAAAGTCGGACTGATTTCTAGTGTTGCAAATTAATGTTGTGCATCGGGTTGGGTTGACCGGGCCAAACCGACCCAAAGCATTATAGATGTATAAACCAAATCTGAACCAAAACCGATCTGAACTCAACCAGACAAAAATCCCAGCAAAAAATTTACCCGAAACAACCTGAAACCGAGCCGACCCGAAAAAACCTGAAAATCTAGCTTGGGCACATGTGTCCGCTTTTTGTGCCTGAACTTTTACCTACTGGTGGGCCTACACGTTAACCCTAACTCCCTAGGCCTTTTTGCTAGGATGTAGCCTCAATCCTGCAAAATCCTCCAATTGGCCTCATGGAAAAATAGCATTTAGCCTCAATCCTGCAAATTCCTCCATTATTTCTTGAATACGGTCCATGGAGGGATGACCACTGCCTGAATCCTGCAAAATCCTCCGGCTATGTCTGTCAATAGGCTGAGGCAGAGGCAGTGACATCCTGGAGCAGTGTGGAGGATTTCAAGTATAATCAAGGACTAAATTTATGCACGGCTGAGCATAAACAACACAAGGTCCGGCCCAAGACCTTGACACAGTGCGTACTCCGAAATCAGCAACGCACTCTTGCCATGTAACCTCAATCCTGCAAATTCCTCCAATTTACAAAAAGGATTTTGGAGGATTCAGGGCGGTTAGGGTTAAAGACTGTGCGTGATAGACTGCAAACCACATGCACATTGTCACGGTGGGTTGACGTTGGTTGTACCGGGCACAGTCACTCTGAAATAATATTGCACCACGTGATTTTCCTTACTGATCCTGATGGGTTGGGTTTTTTTTCGATTTATTTCAGTTTATTTTGGGTTTTTTACAAGATGGCGTTTAAACCGAACCTACCCAACCCAAAAATCGCAAACGCAAAACCGAAACCGACCCCATCCGACATGTATCCGACCCGACATGTATCTCAAACCCAAATTTCCTGCTGTTTGTGAGCTGGCTAGAACGACGACATGTTTTTCATCACATAAAGTTTGGATTTTGAAAGAGTCAAGAGCCAAATCCAACACAAACCATAGAGGGCGAAACAAATTTTGTTATTGCCAGAATTTTCGTTTAGTTTCCCACTATTTGCAACACCAGCGCAGTGAGCTACATTTTCAGATGGCAGGTTGAAACATCAACACTTTGTTATTTATTTTTTAATTGGTTTGGTGATTGTTTTTGTTTTTTGGGGTTTTTTTTGGGAGGGGGGGGTTTCAGGTTGAATGCATTGCGTACACAATTATGGTTAATAACTGATACTTTAGATGCCTTAGAACTGAATAACTGAGATTGGTTCGGTCCAGAAGTGCCATAATTCAGCAAATTTTAGTTTGGTTCGGCAGTTCAGCTGCAGCACTACTGATCATATCTTTCCTGTAGTCGGACAGCAACAGTCTAGACAACTTGCTCATTTAAAAAACAAATTACCCTTCATGTACATACATGTACCGGTACATGTACATACATGACTAATGTATGTGTCCAATCTCCCCTTGGTAGAAAAAAAAAGAAAAATGTATCGACAAATCCGGAGGCAGCCATTTTTTCTACGGTGGTACCAGGGTCGCAGGAGTCGCGCTCAGTTAGCACGCACGCACTCCGGGCTCCTTCGACCAATAGGAATACATGAACCAAATTATGCATCTGCCTCGTCTTTAAGAACGCGTGCAGCATGCGCCTGAGCGTGACACCAGCGCAGTAAAAGCTTCTAATTCTGGTCGCTGGATTCCACTAGACATGTACATGTTGATGAAAAAAACAATCCAAGTTCCATTCCAAAATGTAGCCTGATGTTGTGTCAATACATACATTATCCACATGCTGCAAGCCATAAAGTACAAAGAGCTACACTGTAGTAATACCGTAGACCATGGAGATACATGTATTGCAGCTTCTCTCACCGCATGCCCATGTGGGTTGTAAGTTGTGAGGGCCCTGTTCACTTCATGAATATGTGCATGTACACGTATGTTGTATTGGAAATTTAATACACCACACATGCACAGCCCACAAACATGCAACACAGCCCACAAACATGCAACACTGCCCTCAAACAGTATTCACTTTAGTTTACAGTACACAAGCTTACAGACTGCATGGAGCATTGTCTATTCACATTCAAATCAGTTTCATCTGACTAGCCATGAGCCAATCAAAACCTTCAATCTAAACACCTCTTTTGTCATTCAAATTCAGTCAGGGCTCACTTGATGAATAATTAATGTTGAATTTCTTTGTATTTTTAGAGAGAATTTGCTGAAAAATTTGGAAATATATACATTTTATCTCCTACAAAAAATAAACCAAATGAAAACAAAACCACCCCCCCCCCCAAAAATGCACACACACACACAAAAAGACAAACAGGTGAGAATCTAAAGGGGAAATATGATAGGATGCTAAGGCAGTATTGTACTGAACTGCTAGAAAAGGCCTAAAAGCTGTGTCCATATTATGTGTACATGTACGTCTGCAAGTATTAAGTTGTACAGTGAATTTCAAATTGCACATGCAAAAAGATTTTTTTTAGTCTCTTAAGTCAAATCTCATGGGAATGGATTCAATGTTTGAGGTACCGGTACTGATATCCAGAGTTCGAGTTAAAGGGAAAATACAACATTTGCAAACATCAAAAAATAAAACTACCAAATCATTTTGAAATGCCTTGCTGGACTGTTAGTGAATGACAGTGTAAAGCATCCTGTAAAATCATGGCACCTGGTATACTGTCATTTTCAAGAAAAGTGGTATTTTTGTATCAATTTCCAACGCTGGTCGGCAGACCAGCGTTGGAAAAAACTGGCTTTTTCTCAAATACTGGCCCCAATTGACCATCGCACTTGTTTGCAATCGATTACACACCTATGAACGGGTACAAGCCAGCTAGACTGGTTCCCTGACCTTACAATTCCCCAATGTATGTAAACCGCTCTGTTTCTTCTTATATGGCGTCAGGGAACCAGACTACAGGAAAATGATTGTTTTTGTTGGTTTTTATAGCATTTTCGAACCCAAAACCTCAAAAAAGTCAGTGTAACTATATTTGCTATATATTTCCAACCCCCCAATTCCATGCATTTCTGAAAATTACAGCAAAAGCAAATTATGTATATTCCCTTTAAAGGTAGAATATACATGTCATTGACCATTTACATGTATTATGCATTTTTTTCGTTTGAAGCAACAAAAGTGCTCAAAATCTAAAGAAAGACACTGAACAACTAACCTGATGAGGTTGTAGCTCAGTGAAAGCTGTATATTCTGAGAAAACCATATTCAAAGATCTTGATTTCAATTCAAAAGTTGATGAGTTGCGGAGTTTCGGGTTGTGCCCAAAATCAGCATCCGAAAAAGTTCCCGTTCAGCATGTTCAGCCAATTGACGCTATGCGATGACACGCACTGAACCTACGAATTATAGCAACCGTGTGCATCGTGTCAATGCTTGCGTACACCCATTCAATGGAAAATGCGCCTTTAGATGCATCTTTGAAAATGACCTTCTTTTATTGTTTTCTTCAAAATGACAGCATCCCAGAAAGAATCATTTCACAGGGAGTTTAGTGCCATTACTATCTTTAAAACCAAATATGCTTTTCAACAATAATTTCAACAAAAATGATATACTCCACCTTTACAGATATAGTCCATCATTTGTAATTTGTGCATTTTGTTCATTTGAAGCAACAAAAGTGTTCAAAATCTAATGAAGGATACTGAACAACTAACCTGATGAAGTTTCAGCTCAGCTTCAGCTGTATATTCCGAGAAAAACAGCTTTCTAGGATCTCAATTTCAAATCTAAAGTTGCTGAATCATGTCATTAATTGTTTTGAATTGCAGCTATACGCGATGTCGCGCACTGATCCGACGAATTATAGCAACCGCGCGCGCCTGTGCGTCGTGCCAATGCTTACGCGCGCTGCGCCGAATAACAGAACGAACTACTAATTTAAATTTTCCAACGGTGCGTCTTAAGACGTACCGTTGGAAAGGCCTTCTTTCGTTGATTACTTCAAAATGATAGCTTGCCAGAAAGATTAATTTCACAGGGAGTTTAGTCCACTTACTATCTTTCAACCAAGTATGTTTTTCAACAATAATACGCCAGTTACTTTTTTGGATAGCTGCAAATGATGGACTCCGGCTTTAAGCAAGGTTCCCAATTGTTCTAGTCATGTCATCTACATGTACATGAACATGTATGTACATGAAAGGCTTCAACCGTACCGGTAACTTGCTTTGCCCGGCTATGAAATGGACAGATTATTTGACACACTCTCCTTCTTTTTATTGATTCTGATGGTGAATTTTTTACGGGCACAAATCATTATTTTAATCAGACTATATATTGTTCTTACCTAAAAGTGTCTGCTCTATACATGTAGATAAACTCTATAGATAAACAATAAACTAATCAAATGTCATTGTGTAACTGCGTGAAGCAAATTTTATTTTGTGTCGTTTGTCTAGGATACATCATTCTCGGGGTTTTCCAATGTGAGGTCACCTGACTGGTCCTTTTTAATTGGTAGAGGATGCGCTGGCGTGTTAGCTGCAACTGAGGTAGCAATCAGGATAACTGGAATGCCAGGCGCATGGCATCCACAAGGGCTTCCAATGTGGTTATCACATGGCCACCGCAAAGAGCCAGCATTTCAGTCAGATTGGGCTACCATGGCCAAGTTCGCGCAAGGACTATAGTTAACCATAGTTCGACTAACGCTTGCCCGAATTCTGCCTAGTCGACGGTGGTTGACTACGCTAGTCGACTATTTGGAACCAGCCTACTGGGGTTGGTTGCTTCGCTGGTAACCAATGGCCGCGCGCATTCATAACGCTAGCAGAGAGCCGGGATCCAGAAGTTTTGCGATGACATTTTGACCAGCATTTGACTAGAGACGTTCGCACGTTGCTATCAGTGCACAGGCGTAAGGTACGTCACAAATCAACCACTAGTCGACTAATGGTCCTTGCCCGAACTTGGCCCTGGTTGCAGGTTACCATTGGGCCAGCAGTAGCTATCAGGCCAACATGAAAGCCAGGATTTGTTTCAGTTACGGGCTGTAACTCATTTGATCATATTGGCAGCAAGCACGCCACATCCCCAACGAAGAGCATTGGGCAGTAATCACTCATGAAAAAAGTTTCACACTCGTTTTGCACTTCTTTGTGACTTGTTTTGGCAGCAGTTTCTTTTGGACTTGCCGGAACAAAAGTTCGAGCTTAACGGACATACAGGTGTGGGCATTTTGAGTTACAGGGTACTCATGTACATAATATCCTACTCTCTTGACGGGAATGAAGCATTACGGTCGAGAAAAATGGAGACTCGAGTTATCCAACTTTGAGTTATCGCAAGTTAACCGTACTTTGTTTACTTGTTTGGTTGTTTGGTTTGTTGTACATACCTCTTGCCTCACTCCACCTGCGAGCATGGCTTCTTGTGGTTCAGGCTGACCTAAAAGACAATTGGACAAATAGTCAATGGTGCATTAGTGCTGAATTTTCTCAAATACATCCAATCCATAGAAACAAGTTGGCATGCTTTTGCACTAGAGTCTTAACTTATATGCCCTGGCCAACCCAAATCCATCAACAATTTTGGCCTTAACCCCAGTACAAGCTTTAATCCAACTAAGCATTGAAATAGTAATTCAGTTTAAGGTTTTAAAAAATAATTTGGTAGGGTTACTTCTGGGATAAACTTGATGATCATAATATGCCTTTAAGCACTATTTTACAACATGGATGTGCTGAAGGTGGTATGCAAATGGAGTTTTCTATTTTTTGAAGCGGATATATATTTTTTTGGGTAGATTTGAAGGATTGGTAATGCATCTTACTCAAATGTCATCAAAGCAAGCAACTTTGTCCCCGAAGTCAACTTGCCTTTTGCTGTGCTTAACCCCTCCCCCCCCCCCCCCTCCCCCCGGCCCTTTTGGCTAGAACCCATTGTCAATCCTGCAAAATCCTTCAATTGCCACCATATAAAAATTGGATTCAGCCTCAATCCTGCAAAATCATCCGTTATTTCTTGAATTTCTTCAGTGGAGGGGTGATCATTGCCTTAATCCTTCAAAACCTTCCACCAATCACTGTTATGGGTTCAGGCAGTGCCGATGACATTCAGAGGCAGTGCGGATGATATCAAACCTAATGCGGGGCTCAATTATGCATGGCTGAACATAAACAAAGCAGGGAACAGCCTACAAACTCAACACACTGCATCCTCCAAAATCAACCGACAATCCTATGCCATTCAGCCTCAATCCTCCAAAATCCTCCAAAACCGCCTGGAGGATTTTGGAAGATTGAGGAAGGTTAGGGTTAAGGCCCCGTGGATTAATTCCGATTTGCGTGCGCCCCCGTGCGCACGCGTGCGCACGCGTGCGCACGCAGGCAAGCTCGAACAAAGGAGATTTTGAACCCACTGGCCCGCATCGGCACGCATCGGCACGCATTAGCACGGACTTGCACGCAGTGGCACGCAAACGGACTCAGTGCCAGGCGGTACAACATTACAAACAAACCGCAGAAATGCACAATAGACATCGTCTTGGACTTTAGCCATTGTGTCCCTTAATCCGCTCATTAGTTAATTGTAAACACTTGGCAGGGCCAAGCATGACTCATCTACTCTGGTGGTACCAATAATTACACGCGTTCCAAAAAGACAGGAAATTTTAATGAAATGATAAAAGTGCCCAGGAAAGGACAGGAAATGCCCCAAACATTACCGCGTGAGCCGGTACTTTCATTTAAAACACCGTGTAGAATTAAAATCTACTTGAAAAATCGAACTGTCTTTATCATAACTTTATAAATAAAAATGGTACGGACTGGTACACTCGTACCCAGAACTAAGTGCAGACTTTTATTGAAACAGTGGTATCAAAAGAAATTATTAAAAGCTTGCCGCACCTTGCCGCAAAGAAATTTTAAAGGTCGGGGTACAGAAGCGAAATGAGAGAATTTTGTAAACGGCGAGACGCAGCCAGACTGGTCTACAACCGCATGGTATTGTACGCTGATGGAAGTGGTGTCAGACTTACATGTAGTCTGGCTGGCGGTATTTAACAGTAATAACGCGTGCACGCATGTTCCGTGTTGTGTGGAGCGGGATCGGCCATTGCCAGACGTTGTCTGACACGCGGTGGTGGTTTTTATAAACAGGGATAATGCGTGGACACATATTCCGTGTGCTGCGTTGTGCTGGGCGGGATCGGAACTATACTTTTGGTAGATTGAGTGGCGGGGTATTCTGCAATTGTGCCAAAAAAAATCAGGGCTGCGTGGAAATCGGGGCGGGAGGTGATAAAAACTGGATTAACTAAATGGCCGGAAAGATTCCTATATCTGGTAATCATTTGTCACCCTGTGCACAAACCCTACGGGACTGCAGGTCTGAAAATTTCTAAGTGTTTTCTCAATTCAAAACTTGTCCCTGCAAATTTAGATTTTTTAGGACATATATAGTATCACTTTTTGATGGCTGATAGGTCATTTAAGGGAAAAATTACTGATGGCCAGATATGGGAATCTTTTCATATTTGGCTCTAGAAGTTGTTGGAAATTTCAGCGTAAAGTTTCGTGGAATATGGTGCATCACTTCACTTTTTGGGGACCAAAAGCAAAACTTCACTAATATGCTTATTAATAGCACTAAGTGCCCTAAAAATTTCATATTTTGCCACACAATTTGAAATTCACATATCAATGACTTTATTAAAAAGGTATCATGCACATGTACGATCAATGAAAAGAACAAATATTTCTTCACAAGCCCATAGGAAGATTATAAACATAAATACACATGTATAATAAATAAATACTTGTCACCTAAAAACAAAAGATTATGTGAACAGTGATATTTTAAACGTATGAGCTAGTGGAAAAAAAACAACTTCCTCATCACTATCATGAGTCTTGCAGTGAAACATTCCCCTCATTAAAAAATGTATTAAAAAAAAATCTCCCCAAACAACAATATTTGATAGGCAACTGTAAGGGTTCAGACTATGTATTATTATAACAATTTATTATTATTATCAGCAATGCCAGAGTGAAAAATACAATGTACATAAATCAAGGCTGCATACGAAAACAGTTGTTGACAAACACATATTTTCAAAGAGAAAGTTTTCTTTTTATCTTGACGAAAGTGAATCACTAGAATAGAAATACAATGTACACTGGGCGAGAGGTCAATAAAATTTACACAAAGTTAAAGCTGGAATGTGAATGGTAAACTGGAATGACTTCCACTGGCTATTATTTTCAGATACTGCGGGCATTACATATTCTTTGCATTATTTCTGAAGTTAACTGTTTTATCTATTTAATTTAAGTCAAACGTAGCTTCTGGCTGGCTTTCCTACATTTCGCATTGACTGCATACCTGATATCCTTTGTCATCGTACCTACTGTGCATCCTGGAAATTCTCTCTCGGCCTGCATCACTATTGCCTTAAACTTGTGGTTACTGCGCAGAGACTGTTTTTCAACAGAAACACCCCCTGATAGCACTGACCCCCCAAAGTAGTTGAAGTTTGACAGTTCTTCCAGAGTAAATGCCTTTGGCAGAAGCCCCACTACAATTTCTTTTCCACATGTTGCCTTGTCGTACACAGACTCATAGTCTTTCCTAGGAAGAGTCAGAGTTGAGCCACCGTCTGTGGAGCCAATGACGACATTGTCCGTGTGGTCATCATTGTGGACATAATGTGGTCCATGTCCCCCTTGTGGAACAGTTGGCTGTGGTGGTTGACGTGGCTGAAGTGGTTGCCGTAGTTGCAGAGGTTGGCGCTGTGGTCCTTGTCTCGGCTGCTGAGGTCTCTCCTCTGGCTGCTGGTTGGGCCTCTCTGCAGGCTGCTGCTGAGGTCTTTGTTCTTCTGGCTGCTGGTTAGGCCGTTCTTCCTGCTGCTGTTGGGGCAACTCATCTGGCTGCTGTTGGGGCCTCTCTCTCACCTGCTGCTCTTGATGCTCGTGATATCTGGCAGGCTGTGGCTCATCGTTTTCAGTTGGCAGAGAGAATGCAGGTGGCCCTGTGCTGACAGTTCCAAGTATTGCTGACATGCCACGCACCATAGTGAACATGGTGGTGACAGAGGTCAGCAATATCTTCATCTCCCGTCTTGACTCGGCCACCTCTTGTTTGGTCTGGACTACTTCTTGTTTTGTCTCTACCAGTTCCTTCTTGACTGCATGAAGAAGGCGAACGAGATCACCATGAGACATGAATGATTCATCGTCAACAGAAGCGGACTGATTCACTGCTGGCGATGGGGTGCTGAAGTGCAGAGGCCGACATGCTGAAGATGATGGCAGACTATCATCTGGTGTAGCAGAAACATCTTCCATATGGACATCAGTGTCAGCTTGGCCAACGGCTCGTCTTGTCACTAGTTGTTGCAGAGGCACATCATCAGAATCAGAATCTGACCCACTGTCTGGTAGCTGAACTTGCTGAAGATGAGAACGGCGGGCTAAAAAAAAATAGAAAACAGAACAATGTTTACCCCATTGTATCAATTTGTAATTTGTACTCAAGGGACGTGCCATTTTTTTTCTAAATCTACAATTCCCGTTTATTTTTTTTCCCACAAATAACGTTTCTCAATGGAATAATCTATTGCAAATTTCTCCAAAGATTTCATTCAGCAAAGTCTTCAGACTCAATTCAAATTTTAAAGGAGACATTTCGTCAATATTTTGGACATGAGCTAAACACTAGACTGATACATGTCCAACGATGGTCCAACTATTTGAAAAGACTGACCTCCTCATTCAGTATGTGTCATTTTAGTCTGGTGGTTGACTATCCAGAAATGTGTAGTAAAATAGAGACCAGTTCCCGGTTCGTGCCACATGTTTCTTAAATTCTTTTTTGGCATGGTTGATTGATCCAATACAGAAGCAGTTTTGGACTGGTTGTTAATACTAGGTGCCAGTCTATTTTCATGATGTGGAAAAATCGAACTGTCTTTATCATAACTTTATAAATAAAAATGGTACGGACTGAAAAATAAACCATGCTCTTTCGATCCACCAAAACGTACAATAAATAGATGCATTTCTATTCAAAGGACTGCAAACTCTTTACTTACTGTGAATGTGAACAATGATGGCTTTAAACCGCTTTCCTGCAACATCAACATCAGCCGTCATGTTTACACGCAGTTCATCCGTTGACTTGACGCGGTTTCTTGCAACTCTCTCGGATGTACCAGCTTTCTCTTCGGGTTCAAGCCAAGTCACAAGAACAGAAGCCATATTGCTAGTCAATGTACAATTAACTTTGATATGCTATGCTAGTATGCATCAAACAGAATAGTCATGGAAGTGAAGAAGTCTTGTCTCGAGCAGAACTGCCGAACAGAATGAAGTGGAGAGTAGAACTGTGAACAATGACTGCGCATAATTATCCACGCAGTTGCACCAAACACCCAATACCAATAATGCCATCGATGATCAAAGTAGACCGCCGAGGACGGAGTGCGTCTTGCTACCAACTGGGCATCCATGGTGGTACAACAACTGGAACAAAGCTGTGTTTCTTTCTTCATCACGTTCATGAATGCGGTCAGTGCGGCACATATTGAAATGCGGCACTCTTCATGCTCTTGGTCATGTTGGTTGGATACTGACTGTGACACCACGATGTTTGGAAACATCCTGCCGAGTGCCGACTACAATGAATAAGACTTATCAATGGTCTCCCTATTCATAGATCGCTCAGTAACTGTGGACTATAAGTACTTAATAGGCCCAAAATGCCAATGCAAAACACCTCAGAAATCACTTGATTATTTTTTGTCCATAATCATGGAGAATGTTTATGTTTTGTTATCATGACAAACTACGGCCGGCCAATTGTTCCTCTATCCCCAAAAATAATCTCAAGGTCCAGTAAAGCGTCATGGAATATTACAAACACTATAATCACTTAGGGCATACAAATTAAAATTACATTGTGCAATCCCAAGACATAACAATAAATGTGTCTTTTAATTATCAATCTTGTTGCAAATCGTGGTTAAAATTTATGTAATTTTTTTGGCCGCCCATACAAAACGGCACGTCGTTATTCCGTTTGCGTATACAGAGAAAGCACACTCTCAATCTCCGCATTACGGCACCACACTAGGATTTTAATCAGGGTGACCGTTTTAGCCGAATTTCGGCTAACTTTGAAAGAATTTTTGTTACAAAACGAGTTTGACAGAAAATGACAGAATGGGTACGTTGTTTGGGCAGATTTCAGATTTCTTAATTAAGGCAATACCACCAATCTTCCTATATTTTAAGCGTTTATAGTGTATTTCGAGTAATTCTGGGGAAATTGGCGGATTTTTGATAAATCTGACATGTTTTTTGATGCGCATTTAGCAGAATTTGGCTCTAACCTTACGGTCACCCTGATTTCATAATGACTGGCAAGTGGCATGACTAGTGCATATGTATAGTGCACTGGTGTCACTCTTTCTTGTCTTGTTGATGTTTTCTGAATTATTGTTTTCTGAATTATTGTATGTTGGACCATGGAGATGGAAAGTAAATACATGTACACATGTACATATAGGACAAGTACGCGGGTCGTGTGTGTTTGCTTCCGAGGCAGCCATGGCAGCTTGCGGACAATGGTGTACCATGGAGGAATCGGTACAGCATGTCATGGCATTCAGCATATGCATGTCACGGTTCGGGTTCCATTGTCACCCATTGGATAATGAGCAGGGGCGCTGGGCTGTCAAGTCAAACGTTTGTGCTTTTGCTGAACACGCATGCCGCATTGATGTGGTTTTGACCTTGCATGTTTTCCAGAATTCTAGGACATGATGTAGGAACCTGGCATCAATTAAAATGCTAATGAGTGCACCTGCAATAACCATGAAGTTGGCCATTGTTGACCAGCATGCAAGCCCATCTTATGCTCAGTTCAAAGGTTTACACGCTACTATAGTAAAGAAAACTATAAGTCATTTTTACTTCCATGATAGCGTCTTGTTGCAATGGCAGCGTTAGTAGATTGGTTCATCAAAAATAGAGAAAATTTAGATCCAGGTCTGGTAAGTGGCGACCCTGGAAATGCTGACATCGCTTGGTTAGAAAGTTCAGCTGATCAGATCAACTTTGAGAAATTTGGATTGAGGCCAACTGTAGAACAAGCACCTACTGTGCCACTGACAACTCAAGGTGCTTCTTCAACTGACAAGACGAGAGGCAGGAAGCGTGGTCGTCAAGCACTTGCAGACAAATTTCCTGGAATTGTGAACTCTGCAAGATCTTTCATAACCGACAATGGTTTTGAAGCCCACCGGCGAAGAAGGTCTCATGGAACATGTGGCGTTTCTTTGAGTCAAGTGCGAGACCACCTCATGACTGTTGTTCCACAACTGAAGGAATCAAACACCAAACTAGGTACATTTAAATAATTGATCTTTTAAAATTGTCTTTTCCAATATTTTTTAAGATATAAGGATCAAGGTAGCCTATATAAAACAATGCTAACATTTTTTGGCATTTTTGATATTTCTTAATTTCATTTCATAATAGCCGACCCGCGTCTGGTTTGTTATGCTAAATTCCAAATGATTCCATCATCTCAGTTCAAAGAAAATCATTTTCTCAGAAAGATGGCATAACATTATATTTCATTCCTCTATCATTGTCATTTGTTGCAGTTCTTGGGGAGCTAATCATGACCTTGAAATAACTCGCCATACATGAGTGCAATACATGTACATGTATTCATTTTTGATGCATACTTAATAATTTGTTTCATTATGTTATAAATTTGCTTATTTCAGACAAGAAGACCATCAGCCACTGGTTTCAACCCCCTAACCGACGCTTCAAGGCATCACAGAAGTATGCGGGTTTGATTGATGCTAAGGTGCCCCCGAAATCAAACAGCCGGTCTTCCCCAGATGACAACGACCACTACTTCAGTGCACGGGTCCGATACTGTTTGGAGATGGCAGCCAAGTTTGACAAGTCAGCCACAGTCTTTTCCCTAGACAACAAAAATAAGGTGAAGGTCGGGTCAAAGACACTTGCCGTTGACCGCCACCTACAGATCTGCCGGATTTTTCCTACCAACGATGTCCCAAACTACTACGATCATGATTTTCCGACCCCAGGATATCTGATCACACCTGCTGGTTACCTGAGATTGGAGCCACCTCATCCCCCACAACTGACCGTAGACAAAATTGGAAGAAAACATTTTGAGTGAGTTTTTTTTCTTCTTTATTCTGTACTGCACATTATATATCTTATCTTACCTGTTTTGGTCAGATACATTTTCAACAGTGACATCATTTTGGCCTCTTTGTCTGTTGCATCTAGCCCATATCATGATATAGCCCATAAGCTTTTATGTCATTTCCTGAGTCCAATCGCGGCCAATTAAAAAAAAAGGTGGCGAATCCGCCCTCCCCCCTTTAGAATATGCTACAGAAAGTACATTACAAAGATATTGGGAAAAAAGTTCTTTCCCCCACTCCCACCACCCTATAAAAAAACATCCTGGCGAGGCCCATGTATCAAACCCCAAAAAGTCAAAATTCACATTGCCACAAAATTTGTTTCAGCAATTTGACACTTTGAAGTTTTTTTCTTTCAGACTTCCAAAGACCATAGGGATGACTGTCATCAACAGAGGACCATCGGAGCCGTGCACCATTGAGGCACATGCCAATGACCTCATGGGATTCTCAACGGAGTTGAAGGATGATGGGAAGACCATCGTTGTCTTGATTGTTGATGGTGGTCCTGACTACAACGTAAACCACGAGACCAAGGAGGTGTACTATTCCAGGATCTTCAAGCAACTCAACCTGGATGGGATGATCATCACTTCGTACTGCCCTGGTTTTTCTAGGAGAAACCCCATTGAGCATGTCTGGTCACCCTTGACCAGATTGCTTACTTCAGTCTACCTTGATGACACCCTGCCGGGCGAAAACAAACCACCCTGCCATCAAACAGAGTTGTCTGCAGGTGAACGCAAGCAGAAGGAGTACAAGGTACGTGTACACACAACTTTTTTGGACAGTGTAAACTTTCTCCTTTTTAATTCAAAAATGTAAATGCACAATGCTGGCAACACTTTAGGCCAAGTAAAAAAAAAATGAATGGATTGTCCGGGTTTCTTTAAAAAAAAAGGAGGATGAGTGGCTTATTGTTTTTAATTTTTTTCAAAGATTGCTGCCATGTAAAACATTAAAAAATGGCCGCCAGCTTATCAGTTCTACCCAATTTATGTATGCATAATGCTTTATGCATAAAAATAGCTTTCTGAGGTGAGATAAAAAGTTCAATCTGAAGGATGTTTTCGTTGATGAAAGATAACAATTGTAAATGTAGTTGCAGGTCCTTGATGCATTTTTTTTGGAAGCTGTGACAAAGAGGATGGCATGAGGGTTCGTTTTTTGGGGGGTGGGGGAACCCTGTACTTTTACAGTCTTGTTTTGTATCTTGTGTTGATTTCATAATAGGTTTTTGACAAGGCAATGGACAACCTGGCTGGCTACTGGGAGAATGCCACCTTCGCAGGTCATCCAGTCAAGGTGCAGAACATCCCAAGCGGGACTCCAAATGCCCCCTTCAACGACTACGATGAGGCTCGTGCGATCATCAATGGATCCTACTCAGGTCTCGTAAACAGCCCAGGTATCAAAGCTGAGGTAGACTTTGCTCATATGCATATGGACAGACGCATCGGCATGCTCCTGTTTTCCAAATGCCACAGTGAGTTATGCGTACACTGCAACGAAAACCCCATACGTGACATCAGTGCTTGGGGTTGCATCAGAACTTTCCCTTCTCCTGTACCTTCACCACACACCGAAGGCCACTTCAGAACATTCCATGAGGCACTTCAGACGGAGAGATGTGCACCTGACGAGTACCTACCACGTTACATCGAAGGTGGCTTAGGAAGATGTGACAAGTGCCCCTTGCCGTATGTGTATACGTCAAAAACTAACAAAATTAATCACTTGAGAAAGGTCCATCCATTGCGAGTCTGATTATGTACATTGAACATGTATTGAAAATAACTAGTGGAACACACGCTAAATATTGTTAAACTGACTTGTTACACGTTTTGGGACTGGAGATGCTGGAACAATCAAAGAAAACCAACCATGTTCTTGTAGTCTGATTTACAGGATGCTTTATACTGTCATTCATTTATACTGTTATAATTTGATAATTTCTTTTTTTGATGTTGGCAAATGTATCTTCCTTTAAGATACTTGTTGGAAAAAAATCATTCTCATCTTCAATAAATGGGGATTTAGGGAAGCATGGAGTTACGGGCACATGTCTTGCGATAATGTAATAAATGTTGAGAATATATATGTACATGTATATCCAAGTACTCGATACATCTCTGTAGAGCTATAATCATGCAATAAATTCAGAATATGAGCTAATCAAACTTTGGCATATTTCTCTTCTGGACAGACTGTTTCGTACCATAAGGCACTTATCAGCAGAATATGTGTATATGTATATCTATATTTTTATATAAATGTATGGTTTGTTTTTGTGTATATAAAATTTGAACATGAATAGTGAATATTTGAGAATAAAAAAAAACAAATCGTACATACGTTAGATACTGTGTTCGCTTTTTAACTTAGTTAAATTTAGTTTACAATTTGACTTGAACAATATCAGTCCAATCTCTTCCCATCTGATCCTAATACTAATATTAGCCATTTTTTTTCTCAACAAAGCAAATAATATTTTTTTTTTCGTTGCAGTATGCGCCACCAATTTTTTTTTTTTTGAAAAACTTGTCCAGTTCACCAAAAAAATCATACTGCTCAACTTCACTAGTTCAGTTCGTTTACCATACAGTGCAGCTGTAAATGCAGTAGTTTGTGTACAACATACTTTTGTACAGGAGGCAATCAGGCATCTTTATTGTCCATAAATATTCTCCAGTTCGGCATCGGCCTCATCATGCTGAGCTCGGGAAAATAACGCGCCGTGCAACCATAATATATATTACGATTATACCATAATATTCCTCCCATTCCACGCTAAGCCACTCAATATTTGTATACTATATCACCGAGCTCATGAATAATATACACTCAAAATATTCTAAGAAAAAAAACAAACGCAACCGTACTCCGTAGGCGCGCGCCAGGCATGATTCGGACTCTGCCATAGGGCGCCGCCATCTTGAACTGCGCCCTCAGTCATTCTTTAGATCGCACCGTAAAAATTCGTGAAATTATACCCCCCAAAATAGGCGGCCCAGTTTCGAATTTCCTTAATACACGGGAGGGGGGGGGGATTTCTGTGTTTTTGTTTTTGTTTTCAATACTGTCAGATCCATTTTTGTTGATTGGTAAATATGACATATGTTAATGTTGCTGCTGTCATACGGACGTTCACGTCCACTCGCTGTAGCCTACATATTTTGTGACCGATTTCCTGGAGCTTGACTACTAGATTTTGCCGGGCCGGCACTGGGAACGTGAATAATACTTTTTGGGGGCCGGCGACGAATCATGTCTCCATGACAGTCTCACGATCTTTACGCGGTTTGCTTGTTAATTATGTAAATGTGAGTCACAGTCTTTGATTGATTGGAGTATCAACTTCATAAACATAAACACACCTGATACATGTATTTACTTTTGAAATTTGGCATCCGCGCGGCCAGGGTACCGGAATGTCGTCAGTGCAAATTTTACTTGGGTTGGTGTAATTCAAAATTGAAAATTTGAGAGCACATAACATTTTTTTTTATGTCAATGAGAAAATGGATACAACAGTTACAATGAAACGAACAAAACATTCAACTTCAATTGTGCATGCATTGGCCTACAGCAAATAAAATACCGATCGCCATTGCAACAAAAAAATCAACTTGACTCTCAATGGGCGCGGCCCCAATTATGAGGCCTATTACTTTATCAACATATCATGACGATACGTACGTGCAGGCCTATGATTGATGTACAGCAGTGCCTATCATGACTTTTGATCGGAGGACTATAAAGTTGAATGATGAAAATGAACTTGATGATGTGTATTCTTTCTCTTTCAATAATTGGTGTTTAACTTGAATAATGGAGTGGAACTTTCTTAAAAATGCAGATTAATATAAATTAAGAATAATGACATAAATAAAGCAGTCTTTCAACTGACGTTCATATTTACAGTAAGAACGTTCGGTGTCTTTCAACTAAAACCGAAGCTCTCAACGAAAAATAAAAATAAATATAATATGTCTGGAGCTCAATCAAACGACGCAAAAAAAGCTATGAAAATAGCCTAGCCTTACGTACGTAAAGTGTAGTACATGTACATGTACATGTAATGTCACGTATCATAAAAGAGTAATCCAGACACCATGCATTGTGGCACTGCCAGGCACCAACGTCTTTTATGTCATTGGAACTCCAGCAGTAGTAGGGGAGGTGGGGGAACCGGAGCAAAATGGAAAAAATCTGCGGCAAGCCTGAGCACGCCGCTCTCGATTCTAAAAATAGTTGGGGAAAAATATAGGGGGAATCCCCCGATCTCAAAAAAAAATCTGACGCCGGGTGTGGGGGAGAAAAAAAAAAAAAAAAAAAAAAACTGACGCCGGGTGTGAGAGAAAAAAAAAAAAAAAAAAAAATCTGACGCCGGGGAGAGAGAGAGAGAGCAAAAAAAAAAAAAAAAAAAAAAAAAAAATCTGACGTCGGGAGAGAGAGAGAGAGAGAGAGAAAAAAAAAAAAAAAATATCTGACGCTGGGAGAAAAAAAAAAAAAAAAAAAAAAAAAAAAAAAAATCTGACGCCGAGAGAGAGAGAGAAAAAAAAAAAAAATCTGTCATCGCTAAAATGAGGTGATGTCACCACCACGTGACCTTGAAAAATATGTGAGTCACCACCACGTGACCTTGAAACGTGTTGAGGCACGATAGAAATTTGGCGTAAACAACGCGACCTTGAAAAATATGTGAGTCACCACAACGTGACCTTGGGAATTTTTACTACAGTCAAGCTCTCATGGATTATGAAATAATTGATCGCCCTCCAAAAAAAATGAGAAAAAAAAAAAAATATTATATTTCCTATAATAAATGGAGAGTAATATGTTCAGACCGACCGTCAAAGGATATTCTAAATGGAACAAAGCCACGCTGCGTGATTACGTGCAGCGGTATAATATACCGCACAATGAAAATGTTTCTCTTACTCGTAAAGTTTACATCGAGGGGATAAAACATTATGAAAGTAAATTTAAAAACTTGAGGAAAAAGAAACTTTATGAGCTCAAACAGATTGTAGACGAACACAATCTAGAATACGTACCGACGGGTTATAAAGGACGAGTTTTGAAAAAAGATTTAATCTCGGTGATTAAAACATACAGACAACCCGAATACTTTACAGAGTCAGCTTTTAGAGAAACGAGAAGGTTTAGAAATTATTACAGAAACTGGGAATTAAACCCCAGACTTTATAACCATGATTTAATCAAGTTTTTTGATTCGCACAAGGAACAAATAGTCAATAAAATCAAGTCAGAATTGAGAGAGCTGAGAGGTTTAAAAATGGAGCTCACAATCAAAATAAAATATGAAAAAACCAAACCGGATGGTACGATCGAAACGATCGAAGCTATTCATTATAGCAAGCCAAAAGCCGTTTTAAATCAAAGTCAAATAAAACAGGTTTTAAAAGAAGAGATCGAAGAGCTATTCAAAAAGGATGAAAGGTATACGAATCAAGGATCGGGTTGGGTTTTAAAAAAGATAATGGCGTTATACATCAACATCAACAGATATAATCCAGCGAGAGGTAGTTCTTACATAAACCTACCCGAACATCTTAAAATTAAACAGGCGATGATCAACGTACAAAACAAAGACGACGAGTGTTTGAGATGGTGTTTGAGAGCTGCTCTTGAGTTGTACACGGATAAAGTAAAAAATCAAATAAGAAATAATCCTAATTATAAAATCAACGAAAGCAGACCGTCGATTTACACCAAAGACGACGGACTCAGTTTTAAAGGCGTTGACTTTCCGACACCGGTCGATCAGATACCCAAGATAGAAAGACAAAATAATTTATCGATAAACGTATACGGTTATGAGGGTGAGATATATCCATTATACGTGTCTAAAAACTACGGGGCAAAAGAGATCGATCTGCTTTTGATTTCTAAAGGTGACAAGCATCACTATTGTTGGATAAAATATTTTACGAGGTTGATGTACGACGTTACAAAACATAAATGTAAGAAATATTTTTGTAGAAGATGTCTATGCCATTTTACCAATCAAAACAAATTGGACAGACATATCGCCGATTGTAAGGGTATAGATGCGCATCCATCAAAAATTGTATTTCCTATGGGTAAACCAAAATACATAGACGGACAACCAGGCGAAAGAGACGTACCGATATTAGAATTTAAAAACTATAGACACAAACAAAAAGCACCATTTGTCATTTATGCTGACTTTGAATCAATACTACAAACAACAACACCCACGCAGACACTGACATCTAAACCTACTCACTCAGACAAAGAGACAAACACAAAAAAGATTAACGTTCACAAAGCTAGCGGTTATTCGCTAGTTGTCGTCCGATGCGACGGTAAAAATGTGTATCAAGAGACTTATAGAGGCAAAGACGCTTCAACTAGATTTATAACGACGTTGTTACAATTACAAAGCGATATTAATTGCATATTTGAAAAACCCCAAACCATGAAATTTAACGAGCGAGCTAAAGACCATCACGATAAAACAAACGCGTGTTGGATTTGCGAAAAACCAATTTATCCCAATTATTCGAGCAACTGTCAGTGCCAGAAACCCAGAGAACCCAAGACGATAAAACAAAAGAAAGAATATCAGTACAAAAATAGTAAGGGATTTATCGAGTCTAAATGTCTCGACTGTAAAAAGAGCATTAATAAATTTAGAAAGGTGAGAGATCACTGCCACGTCACTGGTAAATATAGGGGTGCCGCACACGCTTATTGTAACCTCAAACTACAAATTAAACCCGGTTGTACACCGATACCAGTCTTTTTTCACAATTTACAAAATTACGACGCGCATTTAATCATGCAGAGTATTTCAGAATACGATAGTCAAACAGAAATACAAGTGATCGCTAAAAATTCAGAAAAGTATATTTCGTTCTCGATAGGAAATCTACGATTTTTAGACTCGTTTAGTTTTATGGCATCGTCGTTGGATAAATTAGTGAAAGCTTGCCCAAAAGAGTCGTTTCAGCTACTCAAAAAGCATTTTAAACATCCTGACTTGCTATTACAAAAAGGAATTTATCCCTACGAATATATGAACTCGTTTGATAAGTTTCAAGAGACCAGCCTACCACCCATCGGCAAGTTTTACAGCAGACTAAAAGACGAACATATATCGCAACAAGACTACGACAGAGCTCAACGCGTGTGGAACGAGTTTAATATACAAAATCTAGGAGAATATCACGACTTGTACGTGACGACCGATACGTTATTACTTGCAGGCGTATTTGAAAACTTTAGAAGAACGTGCATTACAAACTACGGGTTAGATCCAGCCAATTATTTTACCGCACCCGGATTGTCGTGGGATGCTCTATTAAA